ATTATTTATTGACCACCGTCACTTAGCTTTAATATTGCTGAGTGCTGCGTTAAACAACAAACAAACAAAAGTAAAACTTTCAAACGTTTTATGGTGGACATCTATGGGACATTTACAAATTTTCGGCAAAAGTGACAAATTGATGTCTGATAAAATCCCATTGGTTGGCTTGTATCATATGTTCCCGTATTTTATCAAGTAAACACAAGACTTGCCTTTGCATGTGTTTTTGATAAGTTCCCATGGTCCCGATCACAGTTGCTGATGATCTGTTCCCCGTTTGTATAAGGTATTGTTATATATAGTCTAGTTTAAGATAACAATCTGTGATACTCTAGGTGTTTTACTGTCCATTGTCGCCAGGTTTTGTATGAATTTATGAATGTATAACTTGTTTTCTTCTAATCATCATATGGCTGACAAATTGTCGATGTGACTATAAATATTAACTCACTCACATTACAAGTGTACACGAAGCAATGTCTATGAGGCCACGGGCACATTCATTTACCTTTGTATATAATATATTGAGTCAATAATTAGACCTACCTGGCTCAACACTGGTTGTAACGAAAATGCATCACCTTCAGCAACAACCTGTGTTTGTGCACTAAGGGAGATAATCTTCAACTCGACACGGCAGTCCTCCCTGACCAGGGCAACAGGCACCCGCATCCACCATAGAGACAGTGGCCATGAGGAGGAGTCTCCGTTTTCCCACGGGCTCCAGGCGGACAAACTTCATAGTAGGTGAAACCGAGTCTAGAACACAGAGCGGTTAACATCATTGTGACCGTGTACATGTACAACTCAAGTATCTAGTGAGTGAGTGAGTGAGTATGGTTTTACGCCGCTTTTAGCAATATTCCAGCAATATCACGGCGGGGGACACCAGAAATGGGCTTCACACATTGTACCCATGTCGGGAATCGAATCCGGGTCTTCGGCGTGACGAGCGAACGCTTTAACCACTAGGCTACCCGACCGCCCCTCAAGTAACTAGCTCATAAGACTTGACTCTGTGATGCGTACCTGATTTGTGGTAAAGTGTTCCCCGTCAGGAGATATTTCTACACTGATGACGCCTGCTGGATGCTGAGGATGTTTACAAACTATATGTTCTTTGGACAGACGTGTTCCATTCACCACGATGGTGTCAAATCTGCAGGAGAAGATGTTGTTCCCTGTCTCGGGGAAGTTGTGGCCCCAGATATGCACGTCTCTACCTCCAGTGTCGGGAACGGGCCTAGGGATGATGTTCAGCACGTTGATGTATGGAAGACAGGCGGGGCCATAAAACGTCTCAGTGCATGTGTCACATGATTCTCCCGACCAGTTTTCACCAATGCAATCACATACCTATTTAAATAATGTATGTTATTACACTATTAAACACAAGTCATACACATATGTTTAAGGTAACTGAAGTAACAATCGTTATGGAAATTGGAGAAACTATTGAATTATTTACATTGTTAACCTACCATTTGTGACGTTGCACGATCCATGATTGCATAGAGGACAGGGGAGACAACTCTCTCCCCATCTTGACTGTGCACATTGCAAGCAGTTATCTCCGCTGTAGTCGGGGAAACATGTACACATCTCAGGCGACACACAGTATCCTCTTTGATGTCCACCACAGTCATTAACTTCGTGGCATGCGGCAAGCACACACGTTGCACCCTCCCATCCCAGTGAACAGTTGCACTGGTTTGGCCTCATGCAGACACCATTCCTGTTACAATTGCTAACATCAGAGCAGTCGAAGTCAGAGCAGTCTGCACCACCCCATCCTGAGTCACATCTAACACATGCATTAATAGGACAGGCCATAAACGAATCTAGGACGCTATCCACAAAGCGCTCGCAGCGCTAAGGTGATCGTAACTCCCATGCTTTAACAAAGACTTACGGATGTCCACGTATTTGATGAAGTTGTATCCCTGGATGATACCTGGATCTGGTACTTGTATCCGGTACTTGTCGCAAAGAAGGAAGGGCCTTAAAAAACTGAAGTACCGCTAGAACAATATATTATGCATTAATTTTGTATTACACAAGACCCGTGAAGATCCGGGGTAGAATAGGTCTTCAGCAGCCCATGCTTACCGTAAAAGGCGACTATGCTTGTAAAAGGCGGCTAACGGGATCGGGAGGTCAGGCTCGCTGACTTGGTTGATGCATGTCATCGATCCCAATTGCGCGGATCGATGCTCATGATATTAATCACTGGATTGTTTGGTCCAGATTCGATTATTTACAGACTGCCGTCATATAGCGTTAATATTGCTGAGTGCGGCGTAAAACAAAAAACCAACCAACCAACCAATTGTATTACACATAAGAAGTTAAGGGACACCCGATTTTGTAATATGATAATCTGTCAGGACTGGTGGGTATGGCGACCACATCTTTCCATTTACAGGTGTTCTTTAACTTATTTTGAGTAGTTTATACATTGTTTAGAGCCACAGTTGGCAATACTAACGGTAACATGGTGGTGAAAATATATATTAAAGGAATATTGATAGAAACTCGCAAATTACACTTTCCTATTACGTTCCCTACATATATAGCAGTACATGACATTAAGGCTTTTGAATGATTACAGCAGTTAGGGAATCATTAGAAGCAATAACTAATTAAGTTTAGTGTCCTTTCGATGTCAATAAAAACTGTTTAAAACAATTCAGTTACAATTGAAGCGTATGTAAAAATCAACGTCAACTCATTTGTTTATAGTGAACACTATTGCAGTTAACGAAATATCATAAGTTGGACACAAATTTGTTTACAAATGGGTTACTTCTCAGCAGTATTTATTTCAAATTGAATTTCACAAATACGATAAGATCTTCAATATTATCATCCGCTGAAGGTATACATTTCATAATTTCAAAGAAGCACCTGGCACATTGAATTTAAGACATGTTTACAGGGCACTGTTCCGATCGATTGGTACCTGACCGGAGCAGCATCTGAGATGACCATTGACCTCAGCACTGGACGTATCCTGTGGGAGAGAGCTGTGGCCAATGTTCAACCATTGAACATCTCTGTCAGGGCTTCATACTATATTGGACACTCGGAGGTTCAGTTGTCCCTGACAGTAAAGTTATCCTACAACGTCACATGTTTTGACACCGCGCGGAGTGCTTACTGTTCCTAAAGCCATACAAATCAAAGGACATGTCACTTTCTTCAGCGCTAATAGACAGTCATCAATTGTCTTTGTGGATGTCAAGTACGTGCATAGACGTTGCAACGTGTTATGTAATTCCTGAATGGAAAATTATACCTTAAATTTTGCTTTGTAATATGGTCATCAGCATATCGAAACGATCAATTCTTACCGCCATATACTAACGTACATCAAAAGAGCCACCTCATAGAGGCATCTGTAACTAATCCTTTAAATTAAAGCGAGTCATATATATGAGAATATTCATATTCATAAGAGATCTCTGCGGGGTTGCATCCCTTGTTCGAATCTTGGTGCGCTCTATTGGGGATTGGGGTTCCACCAAAGTAGTGATCTGTATCACTGGATCTGACACGCCACAATTCATTGTGCAGAGTTGCGTCCCTTGTTCGAATCTTGGTGCGTTCTATTGGGGATTGGGGTTCCACCAAAGTAGTGATCTGTATCACTGGATCTGACACGCCACAATTCATTGTGCAGTGTTGCGTCCCTTGTTCGAATCTTGGTGCGCTCTATTGGGGATTGGGGTTCATCCAAAGTAGTGATCTGTATCACTGGATCTGGCACGCCACAATTCATTGTGCAGAGTTGCGTCCCTTGTTCGAATCTTGGTTCGCCATGCATCTGTTTTCTTGGTTTGTCCGACCCATAATCATGATCATGGGTTTTCTCCAAAGTAGAGTTAAACCACTATTCACTCACTCACATGTCTGTTTTTAATTGTAACAGGATACGGAATAAAGATAAGACCAAGATTCTGCTTGTTTTAACATCTTCCACCGATCAAGGTCACTTCGAAACACTGTACTACCGAATAGCTGGGGACAGCGGACAGTTTGACGTTGTGAGTAATATAATGATTACAGTAGAATTAACATCGGAAAATTATAAGAGATTCAGTCCGCCATGGACAATCAAAGGAAGAAAATGGATGCTTGCTCGTTACATGTGATGGTACCTCACACGATCACATAGATCAATAAAGATTCCTCCTTGCAAAGGATATTTTGCTAGTACCTCATGTAAATGTGCTTTTCGTTCGCATTAATAAGGGGCTGTGCATATTCTATATACTATTTTTTTATCCAGCATCTGATATAAATGTCCGGTTTATTTAATATTTAATTATTGTAAACATAGGCGAAGTTCTGTGTCGCTAGTTATTGTGAGTTGAGGTGTTTTCTGTCGTTACAACTTATGTTTCAACCGCTAATGTTAACAGACTGCAGCAACTGCGAGCCATGCAATGGAGTGGGGGGTGTCGGGTCATTGAACGTCGGCGTGACATTACAAATACGAGGATAAAGAACTGTCAGCGCCTTTTATAGGACATCACATGGAGTGCAGAAAGCAGGTGAAACGACATTTTGTAATTGCTTGCTGTTTAATCCCGCATTCAGCAATATGACGGCGGTCTGTAGTTAATCGAGTCTGGACCAGACAATCCTGCGATTGACATCATGAACATCGATCTCAGCTTTTGGGATACGATGACATGTATCAACCTAGTCAGCGAGCCTGACCACCCGATTTATAGTCACCTCTTATGACAAGGTTACGGAAAACCAATTCTAACCCGAATCTTGATGGAGTTGAAACAACGTAAACCATAAATGAGGATAGGATACCACGAAACCATGAAATGTAAAGACATGGATAGCATTAAACATACATGATATAAGAATCGGATTCCATAAAATTCGTGTTTTTGTGTTGAAGCTACTCTTGTATATACAGCCACAGCTTTACATGCACACGATTGAGAATTGCGGATTTCACAGTTGACACATATATCTCAGCACCTTGTAGATGTATAGAGTCGCCCTCTCTCATACCCACATCCTCCGTCTCGCTCTCTCTCATGCCCGCATACTCCGTTTCGCCCTCTCTCATACCCACATCCTCCGTCTCGCCCTCTCTCACACCCACATCCTAAGTCTAGGCTCCTCTCATACCCACACCCTCCGTCCCGCCCTCTCTCATACCCACATCCTTCGTCTCGCCCTCTCTCATACCCACATCTTCCGTCTCGCTCTCTCTCATACCCACATCTTCCGTCTCGCTCTCTCTCATACCAACATCTTCCGTCTCGCTCTCTCTCATACCAACATCTTCCGTCTCGCTCTCTCTCATACCAACATCTTCCGTCTCGCTCTCTCTCATACCAACATCTTCCGTCTCGCTCTCTCTCAAAACCAACATCTTCCGTCTCGCTCTCTCTCATACCCACATCTTCCGTCTCGCTCTCTCTCATACCAACATCTTCCGTCTCGCTCAGTCTCATACCAACATCTTCCGTCTCGCTCTCTCTCATACCCACATCTTCCGTCTCGCTCTCTCTCATACCCACATCTTCCGTCTCGCTCTCTATCATACCAACATCTTCCGTCTCGCTCTCTCTCATACCCACATCCTCCGTCTCGTCCTCTCTCATACCCACATCCTCCGTCACGCCCTCTCTCATACCCACATCCTCCGTCACGCTCTCTCACATACCCACACACATCCTTCGTCACGCTCTCTCACATACCCACACACATCCCCGTCACCCTCTCTATCATACCCACACACATCCTCCGTCACGCTCTCTATCATACCCACACACATCCTCCGTCACGCTCTCTCACATACCCACACACATCCTTCGTCACGCTCTCTCACATACCCACACACATCCCCGTCACGCTCTCTCACATACCCACACACATCCTCCGTCACGCTCTCTCATACCCACACACATCCTCCGTCACGCTCTCTCACATACCCACACACATCCTTCGTCACGCTCTCTCACATACCCACACACATCCTCCGTCATGCTCTCTCACATACCCACACACATCCTCCGTCACGCTCTCTCACATACCCACACACATCCTCCGTCACGCTCTCTCTCATATCCACATCCTCCGTCACGCCGACACCAAAATAATATCTAGCTTTATCAGGTACTCGACAGCTTGAGGCCTAGGTTACACGTATATCTGCAAAAGCTTAATTACCCTTACCAATACCCAGCCCCCGCCTCGCTCTCTCTCTCTCTCTCATGGCCACAAGCCTGTTGTATCATCTTCTGTTTGCAGATGCTCTGTTTCAACCACAAGCACACAGCCAAGCTGTTGTTGCCCGCTGCAAGTACGACACAGTCCCCTCCACACTTCTGAGTTCTGAGCGCCCTCTGCCTGCACACTAACTCTCGCGCCAGTTGGATGAAGGCTACGTTTATGTAACATCCACTGCTCATGAATGAAAACAGGACAAGTCCGCAATTCGTTGTGGAAATATATTGGTGAATGTAGCTATAGGTTTCGGGTACCGGGTAGTAAATTTGGACTCGTCCCAGCCAGAATGCATGGTGAACCCGTATTACAACATTCAGGATATTCCAACTCCTGGCTGACCAACTTCAGGCGGGACCCGTGAAGATTCCGGGGTAGAATAGGTCTTCAGCATCGATCATACTTGCCGTAAAGGGCGACTATGCTTGTCGTAAAAGGTGACTAACGGGATCGGGTGGTCAGGCCCGCTGACTTGGTTGATGCATGTCATCGATCCCAATTGCGTGGCTCGTTGCTCATGATATTAATCACTGGATTGTCTGGTCCAAACTCGATTATTTACAGACCGCCGTCATATGGCTGGAATATTGCTGAGTGCGGCGTTAAACAACAAACCAACCAACCAACCAACCAACTTCAGGCGGGCCAGCTAACTCTTGTAGAGTTTTATGTGCCTTCAAATATATACTTTTATGTTTATTATGTATATGTATTGTGAATATCTGCATGGGTGCACCGGTTTGGTTATGTACCGGTATATTTATGTGTGTATTTATGAGTGACTTGTATTTTGCGGCATGATATTTGCGACAGTAAGTACAGTTAATCTAAATAAATTTTATTATTTTATGTATAGTTTTCTTTTATTAATTGTTACATGACCTTGCAGAAAGAGGTGTTCAAATAGGCTTTATTGTTCACCAAATCCTTTTTTGAAATAACATATTGTTCAAATCACATATATATATATACACAAGTGTACTTCTGTTTTGTTTTTGAGACATTCCCCGTATCTTGGTCCAAAGAACGTGTTGACTTCACGTGAGAAACATATCGCCATCACTTTAACGACATGCTGTGAATAAGCATGTGAGATTAGATGACTATAGTCATCAAAGGGCGATTTGCAACGAGAACATGGCTTAACAATGACTTAGTTTCATGTTAATCTCCTATATACATTCTTTCACGCAAATTGCGATCATACGTACGAGTATATACAACTATCAACATCATTATAATTATATTATTATTATTATTTCATTTCTATTAATGCAAGACTTAGTGTTGTTATTTATATTATCATCATCGCCGTGTGTTTATTTCAATTTTATTAAAACTGACCTCGTATCAACAAACACGAAAGTATGTGCATTTTAAACACATATGAATCAAGATGTATGTCTAACAGGTGTGTACACATGACGTCCTATATCTTGTAGTCTAACCTTCCATCGAATATACATAATTAAACACGTCAGAGATCCGTGAAGATCCGGGTTAGGATGGGTCTTCAGCAACCCATGCATGTCGTAAATGGCGACTATACTTGTCCTAAGAGACGACTAACGGGATCGGGTGGTCAGGCTTGCTGACTTGGTTGATACATGTCATCGTACCCCAATTGCATAGATCTATGCTGATGATATCAGTCACTGGATTGTGTGGTCCTGTCTCGAATATGTACAGACCGCCGTTATGTAGCTGGACTATTGCGGAATGCGGGGTTAAACAACAAACAAACCAATCTTGGGATATGTTTCTATATGATGTGTGACAGGGATTTGTCAAATACAGAATGCCAACACATTCTTGTTTCTCATCATGGCTGATGAGGATACAATGGACAGGACTGGCTGGTTACAGAATGGAGTGAGTGAGTATGGCTTTACGCCGCTTTTAGCAATATTCCAGCAATGTTATGGCGGGGGAAAACCATTGTGTACACCCATTTAGGGAATCGAACCCGGGTCTTCTACAGAATGGACAACTGGATGCGACCGAGATTCTGCTCGATCACAAGACCCTAAAGCCCACGCAATGTCACAAAACAAAATATTTAAAATTATATCTTTGTTTCAGAGAATAAATATTAGTCTGAGCGTGAAGGTGTATGAAAAAGTGGAAAGAACATCACAATGCTTGGTGTAATTTCAGAAAATTCGCCGTTGACTTACTGTATGTCTCCAATTGCTGGACTGGACAGGAATCAGTCTGGTTTCCTTGGTATGCTGCGCTGACGCTTAGTGTAGCACCAGCGCAGCTTACCCAGGGAACCAGGCTGGACAGGAAGTACATGAGTATGTGTTCGACACACCATTAACGGGATCATTCACGGAAAGTTTTAAATTTATTGGTTTGGGGTTTCAAAGATCTCATGAACGCCCGTAAAGATACGGGTTAGAATTGATCTTCAGCAACCCATGCTTGTCCGAAGAGGCGACTAACGGGATCGGGTGGGTCGGGCTCGCCGACTTGGTTGATGCATGGTTGTGTAGATCGATGCTCATGATCTCAGTCACTGGATTTTTAGGTCCAGACCGCCGTCATGTTAGCTGAAATATTGCTGAGTGCTGCGTAAAGCAACAAACAAAAGAGATATCGGAGGACAACGCGTCATGAATAAAGCTTTCAGTTCAGTTGAACTCAAAATACGTTTTCGACTAACAAAATGTCTGTAATACAGCTCCAATTACTTCAATGTCAGCCATGCAAACGGCAAATGCGTGCATTTTTATTTCACATTGTGATCACATTGTCATACAATAACAACAACAACAACAACAACATACCAAACTAATCATCATTAACAAAATAATTAAGCAGTTGATGAAATGATGCCACATGTACATGCATTAAAGCAACACTATGTCATGAACAGTTTATGGTCCCTGCAAGTCAATTAAGAACTAATTTATTCTCTCCTCCAAATTCACAGGGGAATACTGTTAAATGTTTTTACAATGGATGTTCATTTTGCAAATAATTAGAGGCAGCGTCCCCGTTTCACAGACAGTGCCATGTCGTTTCTCTTAAACACTGCTTTGAACAGTATTTCACTTAAATGATGGCGAGTCAGCTTGATATATGGGATGGGCTGTAGCGGTGCAGGGGTCCGTTCCACAAAGACGTTCGTAAATCCTATACTTTAACATACACTTACGACGAGGCACATGTCTTAGACGTGTATCACTTTGGTGAAACCCCCCAAATAGAGCTCACAGACCAAATTTCACAGATTGGGCGCCTCAGGGAGTCTATATGAGACCACATAGACTCACTGGGCAAATCTAGGACCAACATAAAGCTTATCTTGGCAACTTCCTACTCTTTCTACAGAACTGGATTTTCTTCAATGTCCATGAAAGAAACAATAGACGGCAAAGAATCCTTGTACTTGTCAAGCAGGCTAACAGCTTTCACCAAGGCATCGTCCGCATCGACGGCTAGAACAGTATTCTCGAGATCCCGCGTCCAAGTCTCGTGGTAACTCGACAACTTCCGGTAAGGTGTGTCAATCAGTACGTGGGGTATGTTCATCAAAACACAGAATATATGTCCATGAAGTCTGTCTGTTATTACAACGCGACCTCTCTGTAAGAATATCATCCCATTTGTCTGCATGAGAAAAGAGTCTTCTATTGTAGTCTTTCCTTTCGGAGTTTCCCAATTCACCCACGCTTCAACCTGTACAGTCACGCCTTTCGGCCATTTTGTTACGTTTTGTCTCGGTGCCTCTGGATCAACTCTCTTCAACCACATGATATCAAACATTGGAGAAATAAACCTTGAGATGGCCCCTATCTGGAACGCAATGTCAGGCATGAGGAAGAAAGTTGGCTTTCCACTGAAATGTTTCTGAGCTAAACTGAATGATTGACGATCCCTCAACATCATGATAAAATCCGTCTGTCTGTATAGTTTTTCACAGAAAGTGACGTGTTTTGAAAGACCTTCCCTCATGAAGACCGTCTGGGGAAACAATATGATCTTGTACTGTGAGAATGTGTTGAATATTCTTTGTCGGAGGTAGTCGTGAAACTTATAGCCCACGACGTTGCCGCCGCCTTGGAGTAAAACAACCACTTCACTGTCGCTGAAGTTTCTCGCAACGTTGCGGATGTAGTTGAGGTTGCGTGATTTACAAGCGTTGTAGTTGCAGTAGTATAGCAGCTTTATCCCAAGGCGGCGTAGAAGATACACCTCACCAACCGTTATGGCCGGGTCGCCTTTATTAGCAAAAGCGGCGATGTCGATCAAAATGGCGTATTTGAATGGAGCAAGCAACTCGGAAAATACGTTGAAATGAATTCTCTGGGCTTCTGCGATGACGTCATATGAGGAACGCAGGTTAGGAGAAATGACGTCAGTCAATGCTGGCGTTTTCGACAGGTTTGTATCAAGGAACTGGCGAAACTTGTCATTCGTAGTTACGTCCAAACTTTCATACACGATTTCACTTGTAAGATATACAGGCTTGTGAAATCCTGGTCCAATGAAGGAACTTCCGGCCATGGTTGCCGCCGCTGCTTCTCTTGGCGTATCCATCCTCTGTTGACGGAGGACAGTTTCATCTCTGTTCGCTGAGTACTGTCCAAGCGTTGCCAGGCAACACAACACTGTCACCAGCCCGACAGCTTTTCGGGCATCTGTCCAAATTGGTTTTGTTCTGATCACTGCAATAAGGAATAGCAGATTTAAAATGCATATAAGCTTTGAATCTTTGTTGTCGTAGAATGAAATATTTAGCTATATATTTAATCTTCTATATATATGCAATATAATAGTTCATCGGTTGATATTACTTCTACGTGTATAGAAGACCCGTGAAGATCCAGGGTAGAATAGGTCTTCAGCAGCCCATGCTTGCTGTAAAAGGCGACTGTACTTGTGGTAAGAGGCGACTAACGGGATCGGATGGTCAGGCTCGCCGATTTGGTTGATGCATGTCATCGATCCCAATTACGTGGATCGATGCTCATGGCACCAATCACTGGATTGCCAGGTCCAGACTCGATTTTGTACAGAAGGCCGTCATATAGCTTGAATATTGCTGAGTGTGGCGTTAAACAACAAACATCACATCGAATATATATGACAGCGGTCTATAAATAATGGAAACTGGACCAGTCAATCAAGTGATTAACATCATGAGCATCGATCCACACAATTGGGATCCAATGACATGCAATTAACCAAGTCGCCGAGCCTGACCACCCGACCAATTTCGTCACCTCTTACGACAAGTCTATAGGTTGCTGGTGACCTGTATTCTTACCCGGAATATCCGTGAGCTTGTGGGTTGGGGTGAGGCGAATAGATAAAATGAATGAATACTTCATCATTTTGTAAATGGTAAATATGAAGGAAATAATGACAAGGGTAAATATTTTGTGTTACTTACCCACTGTCTCTTGTGTCGGGAGTTGTGAGTGTCTTGCTTCTGTATTGTTTCCACAAGTATACAGAATTAACCCAAAGATACAGACTGCAAGGCCAGCAAAATGTGTGTGGGTCGCCTCCCTTTGTCCAAGGCCGTAGAGGACAAGTACGACCGTGGATCGCTTAGCAATGTTGGCGACGGAATGGCTGAGTACCGACATATAGGACAGGACAAGTGCAGTGGAGATGTAGGAATACGCCACGTGAAATAGACCAGACAGGAAACAGGTTCCCAACATGTAAATAACCGCGCTAGGGAAAAGTCCAACATATGTTCCAGTGTAGAGTGCGTTACTAACGGTTATTACTGTCGCAAGTACCAAAACGACGTTCGCGTGTCGCAGACGAGTTGGAGCAGACGATAATGAGTCACGTTCCAGTTTGATTGCAGCGTTCCGAACGCCAAGGATGACGTTTGATACAAACGCCATGAATATTCCCATTGAGAGTGATGACTGTGTCAGAGTGTCGTTCGCGAAGACCACAGCTCCAGACACCATTAAAGGAAGTGCCAGAAGAGTCCATTTCGAGAGAGGGGTGCCTAGGACAAGTCTCTGAACACACGCGCTGGTCAGTGGTTCCAGGAGTTTGATGGTGAATGTGGAAGACGCTGGCATTAACGCCATGCTCATATTAGTCGCCGTGGTCGCAAGTGCGTGGCAGATCGCCTTTATCCAGAACAAGAACTGTTCTTTACTTTGACGATGCTTCAAAATGTTGATGTCGGTCAACACCAGACACAACGTTAGCTTGCTTACGGTCAGGTAGAAAGGTCGGGTCAGGTCAGTCTCGCCAGGGTCAAGGTCAAACAACAGAAACTTCCGGGCAAACTGATGACACAGCACTGATGACAGAGTCCAGGCAATAAATACAAGCACCGGCTTGTACCACTGTACCTGAAAAGACAAAGAGGAACATAAGGTTTTGTTGCTAATCATATTGGCCGAGTCGTTTGTTTTGTTTCGTTTGCTTTCACAGAAACCTATGATTATGGTTCGAATGCAAAATTCACCAAGATGTATGTTTGTAGATCTGTTAGGAAACGTCTAAGACCTGCATCCGCTATGTCCTGGGTTATAAATAACAGCTTTCTGGTGTTGATCTGTGAAGGACCTCGTATATTGTTCCAAATATTTATTATGCCTCAGACTGTTACAAAAAGGAGGAGGAAATTCCCTGCCTCAAAAATTACATTGTGGCGAGGTACATGTAATTGTGATTCGTCATCAGGTGAATCATTCACCCGATGAAGGAGTAAGCATATACTCCGAAACGTTGTGTTCCTGATGACGAAGTAAACATGTGATTCACCTGATAAAGGAGTAAACATATGATTCACCTGATGAAGGAGTAAACATATGATTCACCTGATGAAGGAGTAAACATGTGATTCACTCGATGAAGGAGTAAACATGTGATTCACCTGATGAAGGAGTAAACATGTGATTCACCCGATGAAGGAGTAAACATGTGATTCACTCGATGAAGGTGTAAACATATGATTCACTCGATGAAGGAGTAAACATGTGATTCACCTGATGAAGGAGTAAACATGTGATTCACCTGATGAAGGAGTAAGCATATACTCCGATACTTTGTGTTCCTTATAATAAAGAAGTTGACATCCATAAATTCTTTGCCTTAAAAGGAAGAAGGTAAAATTAACCTTCAGTTAATTCTGCGTTTTCGTATTTTCACTGACAAAACATCGAGTTATACACAAAGTATGAGACAAACGGATAGCCGATATTAGATCACTGACGATAACCATTCTGGTGGGACTAGAACGTAACATCGCCTTAAACAATTATATCTGATTAAATGAGTTAACAATATTTCAAGGTAAAGTGATACTCTTTCTTACCTTCATTTCAAATGAACTCGATGTAGAGACCAGACTATCATCACTTCGTTGATGCGGGTTCCTCATGACTTAGGAAAGACGTGTTAAGATAACTCAGAATGTTCCTGCAAGCACGTTGGCCTTTAGCGCTAACAGAACGTCAAGTGAAACCGTCCACTGATTTGTTATATAGGGCGAGCAAAGACGCCCCCCGTTTACTGACTCTGTGCGTCACCGCTGTCCCTTTAATAACTGACCAGCTAATACGTTTCATTTATTCGCCGTCAGAAATAGATTATCATAATCCATGAATACAAATATATACCGAGCATATATCGTATTCTGTTATTGTATTTCACTATAATATAAAACACGATTGCGGTATTTCGTGGGTGGGGGGGCATAGACTGCTCTGGGATCAATATCTGGGACCCGGTAGACGCGTCCCCATGCTGACACATATTATACTTTATTCTCACCCCTGTGCATCATTAAAAACATGCAGAAAATAGAAGTTCATATACATAATACAGTACCATTCATATCAAGTTATGAGAGACGATACAAAACTAAATGATAGATAAAAATGTTTTACCCATATAACAACTATTTTCTGCGTTGTGACATTAAAAGCAGGTATTGGCAGTGAAACACACAATTTCTCATTTTGACAGGTTTAAAACGTTGAACATTAAAGCCGTTATACTCATAAATACGGACCTTTTATCACGCTGTCGACCACGGTTTTGGTTACTCATAATTACGTTCAAGAAAAACAATTTAGTGTGACGAAGGTACGAGTGGCCCAGTCGTCTAAGGCGCCGCAATTCGCTGTGCAAAGTTGCGTCCCTTGGACACCAGAAATCTATGATCGTGGGTTCAAACCCGGGTTCTCCCCGATTAATTTCTAGGTTGGTCAGCGCCATATCCGTGCTTGTGGGTTTCACCAAAGTGATAAATGTCAAAGACCTGCATCACTTCGGACTTTCTCTCACACTACACTGACACGCCGTGATATAACTGGAATACTGTTCAAAGCGGCCTTAAACCCAATTAATAAATCACTTTACTTTCGCGGTCTTCAGCAACCCATGCTTGCCGTAAAAGGGGACTGCACTTTTCGTAAGAGGCGACTAACGGTATCGGGTGGTCAGACTCGCTAACTTGGTTGATGCATGTCATCGTATCAAGTGCGTGGATAGAGGATCATGATGTCTATCACTGGATTGTCTGGTCCAGGCGCTCATTCTATTAACCACTTCCTCGCCCGATTACTTACAGGCCATCGGGATACAGATTTACTATCGCTAATTTCGTTGAATATACAAACAAACTGATTTAATAAAAATTTAATATCTAATTCTATTTTAATGGTGTATGCTGATATTGTTCTTGGGTGTACGTTTTCTTACCATAATGCCCCCTTACACCCGTAACATCCGGGTTACAATTGGTCAGCAACTCATGGCTGTCGTAAGAGGGGACTAACGGGATCAGTTGGTAACGCTCGCTGACGTATCCCAACTGCGTAGATCGATGCTCGACAGCCACTGAATTGTGTGGTCCCGACTCGGTTATTTAAGAGACCGCTGTCATATTGTTGGATTCTTGCTGAGTGCGGCGTTAAACAACATACATACAAACAAAAAGCCTCATTGTAATGTTTCATTACAATGAATTCTATACCTGTCCTTTAATCCTGCTAACACCATGGTATAATGTGCATGTCCAGATTTCAGAGGTGAAAGGGACATGACACTGTTGAGTATTATCTGATCACTTTCATTCCATGAAAATAAACTGCCCGGCAAAAGAAAGCATACACCCACGATTGATGTTGGCTGAAAATGAAATGAAACAAACAAGACATGGTTATTCGATGGTCGTGTATTTAATACGGGTATCAAAAGTTGTGTTTTGGACCTCAAGTTTACAATGTTTCGGCGACTGTTATCAGCCTTGTCACGTTTTGATAACGTTTCTAATCTTTTGGTCAAAGGGGGCACGGGTGGCCCAGTCGTCTAAGGCGCCGCGGTTCGATGTGCAGAGTTGCGTCCCTTGGGCACGCCAGAAACCTATGATTGTGGGTTCGAATCCCAGTTCGCCCCGATTATGTTTCTAGGTTTGTCAGCACCATATACCCGTGCTCGTGGGTTTCACCGCAGTGGTAAACGTCTGAGACCTGCATCACTTCGGGCTTTCCTCCCACATTTAGCTGACACGACGTGATGTAACTGGAATACTGTTAAAAGTGGCGTTAAACCCAACTCACTCACTCACTTTTGGTCAAATCCAGTTTTCAAGTGTATGTTTCCTTTGTCATGACAATATATGAAATACATATCCACTGGAACTGCAAAGTAACGTATGTATTTGCCATGACGGACACGCACACGGGGTAAGGGGAGTTGTGCAGAGCGTTGCAAATTAAAACATGTGATAAATGTGAGAAACGATTATCACTAAAATTTCGTTTCACAGTTATCTGTTCGAAATTGAAAACAATGTAACCAATCTCGGAACCTGAGACAACACCAAGTGACATTAACATTAAATTCACGTTTTAGAAAAGTTCAAACAAACTTCGTGATGACTAAACAAACAAATATTCATTAATTCCATCAAACACTTACATACATGTAGGTGGCACGAGTGGAGCAGCCACTGAAATTCGCTTATGCCATAGTCTAGTCCTGCACCATGACTGTGGAATCTATTTATTTAATGAAAACAACAACCTAGAAACGCACACAAAAGCAAGTCTAGCCAGCTCAAGCTGGCTCTATTCCACAGCAGAGGGATTTAATTTTTAAGAGTTAAGAAGGATATTTTGTAATTATATTAGATTTCATAGATTAAATGTTAGTCTAGCCATAGACCTATTTTCGTCAGTTCCTAGGCTCTCCCGGTAATGTGCCCAGGCCAGCGCCGTATAGCCGTTATCACGGTTTTACCAAATTGGTAACCGCCAAGGACCTACACCAGTTCGGTCTTTCTTTCCACAATAACCTGACACCTGTTTTTTATAAGTTCAGTAGCATTTATCAATAACTACAGAACAATGTTTGTGGCGAGACATTAAACCTGCTACCTACTGTGTTGCAAAAGAACAGATTTCTCCAGCGCTTCTCTTCCCTTGTAAGCAGCAAAATCTCTACACTTTGACACAGGAGACGTAACTCAAAGATAAGCTATCGTGTTTAGTTTCAACTAAATCAGTAAACGCGCTATAATGTCACTGGACTGTCTGGATCAGTTTTTACAGGCCGCCTTTTTTATATCAGTAGTGATGAATGCGGGGTTAGGCAACATTCATTTACTTTTTAATGCAAATAGTGTGAATGACGGGTTTTACGGGTAGAACAGGTCTTGCTTAACCTTTCAGCGAAGACCAGGTGTCATCATTGTTTTTGAGTGATCCATTCATATAATTTTCATAAATATGTTGCCAGAGACTATCAATTTTATGGTTTCTGATGTTGCCTTTTACGCCCAATGGAATATGTTTCGACAGACAATAGAGACTGTTTATTCTTTGACGTTTACGGTTTATATTTAAATACAATACTGTTCAAAGCGGCGTTAAACTTAACTATTGACTATTGTTAAGAATTTCCGTTTTTTTCTCCGTTCTCTATTAGCAGGAATACGCTCCTAAACCAATTTATATAACTGACTGAACATGGCATCGGTACACTGGTACCTGTTCTGTTTGTGTCCTGCCGACAGTGCTTCTGACATTGTCAACTTCACATAACCCAGCAAATTACCTTTCCTATTCTGGGCAGCTATAATGTCTTCGACATTAATCTCCCCCCTGCCATTATGGTCTTTAGGCATTCATAACAGAGCACAAAGACACCAACTGCATATATGAAACGCTTATTTCGTCTACACAAGACACTATTGAATCTAGTGACCTTTTAGTACTTGGTAACTTTGTACCAGACACCTGTTGGACAAATGAGGCCATATATTACAAAGACTGCTTGGGACCGTTTATGCAGGTCACTGGATAATTATGCCGTATGTCTCCGAGAATATTCACACACAATTCTTCATACAGAGAATATGTATTGAGGTCGTCAGTTTCTTCATGTATATTCCACATGGACATTCCGGGGATTATTAGGTCAAGCATGCTTTATTGTAATGGATGACTAAGCAGAATCGGGGGTCAGTGACCACAGCGGTCAGTACCATTTCCGCACTGTAGATGTTACAGTCAATGTGCAAAATGACTGAAATTTTCACTTTGGCAATTTACAAAACGGCTAAATATTTCCGTTATACAAATTTGACTGAAAAATCTGTCCATTTCTATTATCTGACAACTAATTCCAAACATTTTTATGTTAAATTTCATCTGAAAGGATTAAAAGCAAATGACATTAAGTATATATATAGATATATAGATATATTTCTAATCATAGTACAATTAGTGATGATTTTAAGCCCTTTAGAACTTCTTAATAACTTTTAGTCAATCTGTCAAATAAATGGACAGATTTTTCAGTCCGCTTGTAAGAAGAGTGATTTACTTAGGCAATTTATTAAATACCTGCATATAATATTTATGCATTTTATGAGTATGCTTTTAAAATTTGCCTCAGTTAATCACATTTTGCAAATTGACTGTAACATATGGACATCATGGACACCAGAAATGGGCTTCACACATTGTACCAATGTGGGGAATCGATCCCGGGCCTTGTGCGTGACGAGCGAACGCCTTAACCACTAGACTACCACATCGCCTGATGCCGTTCCACAAAACGATCTTAGCGCTACGACTATCGTCTGTCTATGTTAAAGTATGGCAGTTATGGACACCTTAGCGCTATGTTATATCGCATTGTGGAACGGGTCCATGGACCATAAAATTTATGTCACAATACTCCGTCAGTCAGACCCAGGTAGGTTGTGGGTGTGGTAAGGGTCAATGAACCTGGGTCGGTGACTTAGGCGCTGTGATATGGCGGATTGATTGTCATCGACGTCTGATTTCTTTCATTCACTGGTTTCCCGGTTCCAGACTCGACTATTTACAGGCCGCCGTGGTACAGGTGGAACCTTGATTAGTGCGGCGTAAAATAACATCCAGGTTCTCTTTATAAATGTACGGGGCGGTGGGGTAGCCTAGTGGTTACAGCGTCCTCTCGTCACGCCGAAGACCCGGGTTCGATTCCCCACATGGGTACAATGTGTGAAGCTCATTTCTGGTGTCCGGAGCCAAGATATTGCTGGAATATTGCTAAAAGCGGCGTCAAGCCATACCCACTCACTCATAAATGTACAGACCGACGTTTCGAAATACACCCCAAAAATGATGTTTTATCTACCCTGAAATGTCCTTGAATATATAAATACATAGGCAGCTTTACTTTCGCTATTGTGGGGGCGTTACATAGCCTCGTGGTTGAAGCTCCGTAAAGACCCCGAAGATCCTGGTTTGATACCCAACGTGGGACAGTCGTGGGTACACTGATGTACCCCCCGTAAGATGGCTGGAATCTAAGAAGAATCTTATTGAAGCTCTACTCACAAGTGTGACCATTGCGACCATTGTCTGTAATAGAGTACATGCAAGTCGGTAAAATACCGGCCCCGGGGGTGATTGGTGTTCGAAGCCTCACATAAAAAACCTGGACCCAAAGACATTTAAATAATCAAAATATCCACTTCCACATTGATACACTTTTGCCAACGATGTTGGGGGGATTTTATCCCAGTTTCGTAGACTTCCTTTTCTTGGCTGTCCAAAACGTTCTCCACAGCTACAATGACATCAGCGTTCGGAATTGGTTCCGGATAGAGCTTATTCGCGTTTTGGAACAGAAGGGTGCCATACTCTCAGCCTCTCCCGTATCACAGTCTCAATTTTACCCCGTAATCGCCCAACAAGGGCAGCATAATTCTCTCTCGGACACACACAGTAACAGATCGAACACAACACCCTATCAGATCGAACACACACACCAACAGATCGAACACAATACAAGCTAACAGATCAAACACAACATAGCGATCATTCTTAGTCGTAGTTTATTGTGATTCGTCAGTTATTATTGTCATGAATATTATCATTTTGTTTTCACCGGTTTCTTGGCTCGTGTTTCCACAGGTAGTCAAGAATGCCATGTACGGGAATGTATAAACAGACGTAATTCATGCATGAGTTTCCATGACAACTGGTCACTAGAACACGGAATGCGCGTCACGAAAATACACATTTCATGACGACACAACAACGGAATGTCTTATACGGCACAAACAGCTAACGAAAGGTATTCACGATCCACAACATGGACAAACATCAAACGTACCCGGCGTAAATAGCCTTGACACATAACCAGACCCATTTCATTCGTGACCAACTCGTGTTCTTCCGGGACAAACCGAATAGCGACTCATACCCCTTTCGTGGCGACTGGGTTCAGTCTAAGCGCAAACGCGCATAGCTAGAAGAATTGTCAACTCGTTGCGTGATGATTCAGGTATATTTTCCCCATATGTCATATGTATATTCCAGATGCTATTGAAAACACATCGGGACTAGCAGTATTAAACAGTATGATTGAAAACATTCATGTGTCTTGGGTTACCGTATATTTTTTAATGCAAGACATAGGCGAGTGGTGATGAATGGGCCTATTTATGCCTTACGAAAGCGACGGAAAAGATCGAAAAGTGCCGAGTGGTTCATTCTGATATCTTAGTTAGTGTCACCGGAGTCTTCTTCTTGGTGATTATGTTCTTCACGCTCTTCTTGAACTTTGACTTTTTAACCCCAGTTTTCCCTGGTTTCGATTTCATGCCGGATGTGTTCGATGAGGATGTTGCCGCTATGTTTTTGACAGTTGTTCCCGACCCTGATCCCTGAATTATGTCAACCTTGACTTGTTTCACGTCAACCTTGCGCGGCGTTGTCTTCTTTGTACCTCCACGAAACACGGCCTTGCTTCTGTACATGTAGTGCAAATGACGAAGCAACTTCTTAAAGTCGCCGAAATTTCTCTTCATGAACCGCATCTGCCTGGACAATGTTGACAGGTCGAGGAGAACGATGCCGAGGATGATCATGAGAAATACGATGATGCCTGCGACTCCGAATACGACGACTGAGCCTCGGTTGTCTACGGCGCTGGTGAACTTACTCTTGTACTGGGCTGTCTCAGTCTTGTCAACTGTTAGCTCCTCCTCAATCTCATTTAATGCATCCCTCAGTGGGTTCTCTTCAGCGTCTACCGAACACAAAACAGTATCTCAGAGTTCTTTAGAGCCTCTTTAGACAGTATTTTAGTAATATCGCGGCAGGGGGCACGGGTGGCCCAGTCGTCTAAGGCGCCGCAATTCGCTGTGCAGAGTTGCGTCCCTTGGGCACACCAGAGACCTATGATTGTGGGTTCGAATCCCGGTTCGACCCGATTATGTTTCTAGGTTTGTCAGCACCATACCCGTGCTTGTGGGTTTCACCGAAGTGGTAAACGTCTGAGACCTGCATCACTTCGGGCTTTCCTCCCACATAAAGCTGACACGCCGCGATATGACTGGAATACTGTTAAAAGCGGCGTTAAATCTAACTCACACACTCACTAAATCAATAAAGCCAATAGTGATTCAGGCCTTAGGCGTTCACCAGTTCGGTGAAACCCACGAGCACAGTTTAGGTACTGACAAACCTAGCAATATGATCAGGGCGAACCGGGATTCGAACCCACGATCACAGGTTTCTGACACGCTTAAGGGAGATAACTCTGCACAGCAAATTGCAGCGCCTTGGACGACGAGAAAGAGAATTGTAGCCAAGGGGAACGAAATTATACAAGGCTACCCCAATACCACAAAGGGGTTTGAAGGAACAGTCGTTAATTTGTGGGCATCCACTTTATCAAGGTACGAGGGCATAATTAGTGTCCACCCGATCCACAGATTGGTCGTCTCATACGACATGACAAAAGCACTGAGAACCTATTCTGCTCCCAGTGCCTATATATTAGGACATCCTCGTCACTCTGCCTCGGTCTTGTCTGTAAACCGCTGGGCGGTGTTCGTTTTGCTATAGCACATGTGAGTGAATGTTGTTTAATGCCACACCCAGCAATGTTCCAGCAATATCACGGCAGTTTGTAACTAATCGAGTCTGGACCAGAAGAAACCCGTGATTGATTGAGCAACGCCTCACGAAACACGTCGGGGCATGACTCGAACCACCTGATTCTCATTTGCTGAGCGGAAACTTCATAGTAGTATTTCATTTCGTTTGTTTGTTGTTTAACGCTGCACAAAGCAATATTCCAGCTATATGACAGCAGTCTGTAAATTATCGAGTCTGGACCAGACAATACAGTGATGGACATCATGAGCATCGATCTACGCAAATGGGATCCGATGATATGCATCAACCATGTCAGCCAGCCTGACCACCCGATCCCGTTAGTCGCCTCTTACGACAAGCATGGGTTGCTGAAGACCTATTCTACCCCGGATGTTCTCGGGTGTGGTATCACATGAATATGTTTACTCCACAGTGGTAACATCCACTATCCACTATCCACTAGACTCTGTAGCTCGATTGACTAAAGCAGATACTCAATCCTCGTGGGCTTATTTTGGTGACAAAAATGAACAGTTAGTACAATGGGGTACAAAAGAACAATCGTTTACGACAAAGATATTGAACTGTCCACACTTCCTACCTCTGCCCCACTGTATCCCAAACATTGCACCTTCCACATAGGTCTCTGAAACAGAAATATCGAAACATCTATTTAATTGTTTTCTCTTAAACTTTGACAGATTTCTAATTATTTCTCTGGTCTTGTGCCTTTAGACCAGTGCCATGCACAACACCATATACAATGTTTGCACGTGTTTCAATCTAATTGACAGATTTCTATGGAAGCCTTTGGGGGCTTTTCCATTTTTTCTTGTAACCTCAGTGTACTAGATTTCAAGATTCACCACTACTTAACAACCTGCCTTCACCAGAACAATGAACTAACAAATATATACAATATGATAAAAATATTCCTAGGAAGCTCTATATCTTTCAATTTCAAGTTAATATTTTGAAATTTCAACTTATGTATCTTGAGATTTCATCTTAGAATCTTGAATTTTCAAGGCTTCCCGAAAAGGCTTCCGTAGATTTTCTAAGCACTACTTACCCAGACTTTGTATAATCATTTGTGCCCCAAGAATAATCTTTACAAAACACGTCCGGTTATATTAAACATTCGAAATGTACGACGCTTTCATATCGGCTTACACGTCTAAAGGTCGAGCCACATTCAAGCAGCACAGCGTGTCAAAGCAATACACATGTACATTTAACCCACACTGAGGCAGCACAAAGAAGAGGATAGTTTGTAGATACAATGGAGAGAATACTAAACTTTATTTATTCTGTTTACATTACAGGTAAAATGCCATCAACAGGAAAAGCCGTGAAAGGAAACATGTTGAGTCAGTGTCAGGCGTGATACAAGTTTGTGTCGCTGAAAATGCATTTATTTTGGTTGCATATAGTTATAAAGTTACACAGTTGTAGGGGGCACGAGTGGCCCAGTCGTCTAAGGCGCCGCGACTCGCTGTGCAGAGTTGCGTCCCTTGGGCACGCCTATTCCGAATATGGGTTCGTATCCCGGCTCGACCCGATTATGTGTCTAGATTTGTCAGGACCATACCCGTGCTCGTGGGTTTCACCGCAGTGGTAAACGTGTGAGACCTGCATCGCTTCGGGCTTTCCTCCCACATTAGGCTGACACGCCGCGATAAAGGTGGAATGTGACATGTGGTTTTCCACTTATTGGAGACCATATAGGTCGCTTGATTCACTTGCTTCTCTTCCTCGAAAATGAACAATTCCCCGAATGTGTGATTCAGGCGTAACAAGGTTACTGTTTGTACAATTTAGCAAATGAAACAATGAATGTTTCTGAACCGTGTTCTTCGTGATGTTTGACCCTCTTTGATCAAATTGTCTGTCTGTTTGGAATTGACGTGTCACGTAGGGGATTCCCCTTTCAGTCAGTGTGGGTTGCATAACAAATTGATATTTGCCTGACGGCGCGCTGCGTTACTTTCGTGTGTCCTGACCTCAACACACCTTTCGACAAATAAATCGGAAATATAATTGCAGGTTGGCCTATTCCATTATTTTTGGAGATGCGTATACATTTGGCATAGAAGGTGACGGAGGGAAATTCGGCCACGTCACTGTTGTACACGGGGAGGAACACCTGAAACACCAAAACAGTCAGTGAGTGAGTGAGTACTTCAGTGAACTCACACAAAGTGAAAGTCAATTCTTAAGTTTGTTTGTCTGTTGTTTAAGGCCGCACTCAGCAATAGTCCAGCTATATGACGGCGGTCTGTAAATAATCAAGTCTGGACCAGACAATCCAGTGATTGACATCATGAGCATCGATCAATGCAATTAGGATACGATGGTTGGTTGGTTTGTTGTTTAACGCCGCACTCAGCAATATTCCAGCTATATGACGGCGGTCTGTAAATAATCGAGTCTGGACCAGACAATCCAGTGATTGACATCATGAGCATCGATCAATGCAATTGGGATACGATGACATGCATCAACCTAGTCAGCGAGCCTGACCAACCGATCCCGTTAGTCGCCTCTTACGACAAGCATAGTCGCCTTTTACGGCAAGCATAGATTGGTGAAGACCTACTCTACCCTGGATCTTCACGGGTCCAATTCTTAAGTAATTAAAGTTTACACATTTCTACGTGTTCTTGCTCGGTACAGGTAATTCTTCCAAGCAAGTTATATCTCTAAACATTGAATATGTGAAGACACACGACCACGATTTTGGTCTCGGTGAGAGTTGTAAGACTCGAGGGGGATAGGTCGAAAAGCAAGACCGGCGGCCGATAGGCCCGAAATGGCACTTTTCGACCAACCTCGGAGGTCCGACTATCATCAAGACCGAATTCCAGGCCACGAACGGACTTACAAACTGACACCTTCTTTGACTGATTCACACAGTAGTCAAATATGATTTCGGTGTTTGATAAATTATATCCCTGTAACGCTCAATAATATGCTAGCATGTGCATTACATGAGCACAAACCTGTGGGTGACGCACCCTGTCACAAACCTTGCGCTCACTGAACCTTTACTTCATCACCAGCCCCGGTGGCTCAGAGGGAATGCACTGGGTTACAGAACTAAACATGATACACGTGGTTGCAGGTTCGATTCTCGTCATTGAATTTGCATGTGACAGAAATCTTTACCTTTAACCAGGGGGAAAAAAAATCAACATTAGATTCGAAATTAATGATACAGTTCATCAGAACAGGTATTACTTTGGATTCAAGTAAAACCTTAGATCCCTATGTATATTCAAAGTCGCTTGATCGCATCCACGCACTTGCTCACAGGAGAAAAGTCCTGCAGAACAATGGGATGACGTCACATGAGGTTTAGTGGAAAGGCGTGAACTGCGAAATAAGAACTTGATTGTTTTTTGTTGAATGTACATTCTTGTTACGATACTAATGAACTGATATTTAAAAACTTGCATACTTACGCGTTCCAAAGAATCAACACTGGTTGTCCTTACCTTCTCTGTCCCAGTATCGTCCTTGTATGTTGTGTACGCATCCGGGTACTTGGCGAGACATCCGTCCTCGTCGCTGTAGGCGAGTCTGAACTCCGTCAGGTGACCGGATGACGTCCTCTGTAGGGAAAACCCCACCACGTAGCCAGCAAAGGACCAGGCGAACTGAAGTCAAATATGTACCGCTTAGCCAATGGCTGCACCCTTTTCCTTTATTCTCTCCCAACCAAAAAACATCGCTTAGTCGCCTCTTGAGCAGCTTATCTCAATTATACCTTATATACACACTCCCTGTACCCTTGAATTAACTACAGGGACTGGCATGCTCTAACGTGGATATTCTTTGGTAAAACATAATTGCATGCTTTCCCTGACTTTCCCTATAAGATTCGAAGACGAGTGGAACCTGGCTCTCTTTTGGGGAATTCTTTTTATTACAACACGCTCGCACGGAGACGTTCCTCGGATGTACGTCTGATAGTATCTTCCCGAGGCAAAGGAGTTAACTGACAATAAAAGTCTAGTTTCCACCCTTGCCGAACAAGGCTGCAATTATGGAGTTATGTTTTGGCTCGACTAACGAGTCTATGCATAGTAGAATCACGTAACAAAATCGACATCCGGTTCGTAAAACTGCGGTGCAAATTTTGGTTGATTGCAGGATTTGTAAAACATGTGTACCGTCAACTGGGCGTCTACAGATATTTTCCAAATCTGTTCATATTTCTAATCAAGGTGCTCACGTGATTTGATGCACTTCGCGAGGTAAGACCTGTTTTATTACAATATAGATCTTGATTATTGATCAGACTGGACGCCGCCATTTTGTTTGAAGCGAAAGCAAGTGATATGAGAGGTGGAATTTGATTGGTCAATAGAAGGGACATAATTCGTAATAGCCACTGGATCGTGCCCAGAAATTCCAGCCTAGCCCAGTTAACTCACTTGCCTCGGGAAGATGGTCTGATGGTGTCAGCTAGTATAGGTAAAAAAACTGCATGCTCAGCCGGTTTGAGCCAAATTGACGCGAAGAGGTTTAACCAGGGCAGGGTTAGGTTAGTTCCCGCGTATATTAGCATATGTATAAATAAAAGCGACAAATCTCTCCTCAAAGCAGAGCCCATTGTACGAGGAAAGTTGACGTCATCTCTCTTGTGGATAGTTTCTTTTCACTCTGTCACGCGCTCAGGTGGGTACATCAGTGGAAGGGAATTGGCTATTTGTGAGACGTTCTCGGATGCAAGAGGCAGTAAAGAGATGGAGTTCGAGTTTCCCTTCATATCGAGGGACGGGAGAGGTGCAGACATCAAAACAGACCGAGACACGAAATATTTTAGAATAGAAACTGGCAATAATCTGTCCCGTACAAAAACGTGAAACAAACAATATGCTCCTTTAAGTCTTCAACTCAAAGACACATAAGCTGCGTATTAGCGTACAATACGCACAATAAATCACCAGAACCTAATTGATTTTGTGTTATTTGTGGACAAATACAAAATATTCATTAACAAAATCAATTTTAAACTCTACGCAATTACCGAATGTTGCCTTTTCAGATTGCGTACCTTTATTTACTGATCGTGTGCAGGTCTGACGTATACATGAACTCTCCTGCAGTGAATAGTGCAGCTTATTGTAACTTAAATAAAATAAATAAATAATAATAAATATATAAATAAATAATAATAAACAAATACATATATTTATATGTATCACTGTTGTGAGCTCATGCGATATGTGACTTGGGGAATCAAATGGAGAGATGCAAGTAATCTGAAACAGCATTGTGAGGGAATGATGTTCAAAAAAGGTTGTTTGACTGGTTTGAAAATACCCCATGCATGGACCTAAGGCAGTATTGAATACCCAAAGATGATTAATGCTCAATGTGAATGGCAACATGTGAGTAAATACATAAATACTCAGTAGCTAAAAAAATCTGGAGTGTGTGTTTAACAACACATTTTCATCAATCTCAATTCAATCTCTCCTACCTGTTACAAAATGTTTACTGGATGTTTATATTCCTGGAATATTGCTAAAAGCGGCGTTAAATCATTCTCACTCACTCACTCTGCGGAATTCACACCAGTTTGAGGTCATCAACATACAACTTACCCCCCAAGAAATGGAGTTTCCTGCTGCAAATGTGAAGTTAAGTGTCGGGTTGTTTCGGTTTTCTGCAACCTGGACCGAGTTGCTTTTTGGTATGAAGCCTGTAAAATTTGGAAAACGTGATAAATGATTAAATCATTTATCATTTAAGAACATTCGGTAAGTAGTTATGGCTAAAATACTGTGATAAGCACTGATGCCACATGAGCATAACTTCATCACGTCGGCGAATCTTGAACTCAGATGACCCGAGTCACAGCTCTACCAACGACCTGCGGATACAGGACTTAAGATCCTGTGGACATGGTTTACTTTTTCACAAGGAGATACCCTTTTCTTTGTTAAATCTGACTTGTCAAGATTGTCAGTCATTTCCCAACATGGGCTGGAATCCATACCACATCACGATATAAAGACTTTGAGTTGAGAAAAGCGACCAACTTCTGTTGTCATACACTGTCACTTCTAGACCTAGCTTCCCCAGACCCAGTAGCCCATACATCTGACATGGAGTCAGTAAATGGTATTGCCACACTGCTGTTGCCACTAAGCCACTTCAGTGCTTGGAGAATAACAATGTGTTCATCAGCAAATACAAACAAATGAACATTCGGAAAACAAGAATGAGACAGCTAGGCAGAGTTACTTCCCTTTTTTGAATATCCTTTCGATAAAACCGCGCGAAATTCGTTAATGTCACACTGGGATGACATGTATCAATACTATTCAAAAGAAGTTAAAGAAAATATTGTTACTGTTAATCTCGCATGATTGTATCCATTATTGATTTGCCTTTTTGTATTATCGTCATTTCTTATCAAATTCTGGGGGTGAGAGTCAGAATATGTAACGTCTATATCAAAATATTTTCACGTACAGTAAACTACGGTTATAACGAACTCAAAGGGACTACTAATTTTAGTTCGTTATAACCGTAATTCGTTATAAGCATATATACAGTATAACTACAGCAAATAGTCGGGACTAAAAAGTTAGTTCGTTATATCCGTTAGTTCGTTATAAGCGTGTTCGTTATAACCGTAGTTTACTGTATATTCTTCACGAAATAATATCTAAATTCAGTGATAAATGCATTACTTGTGGGGTAGGCTTTAGGGCCTGTGTTTGTGATGAGGATCCGCTGGTGATCTGCGATCTGCTCCATCCACAACCACCCCATGTTGTCGTCAGGTCGGTTCACAAACACCCCAGACGTGTTGAAGCTAGGGACAGACAAGTTATACAATAAATCGTTTGCAATGTACGTCTAACACCCATAGCCTTACGGGTAATTACTTCCGGATTTGGACTAACGCAAGATTGAGATATTTTTTCTCTCATAACACGACATGATATGAGCGCATAGAACCTATACTACTCAAAACAGGTTAAAGAACACCCACACTCATATGAAAAAACGGGTGCTCTGTAACTTCTTTTGAGTGGTATACACATCTGACTAAACTCGACATGCCTGTCATTGGGGGAATACCACTGTTGTTTGTTTGTTCGTCAGCAATATTCCTGCTATATGACGGAGGCTTGTAAATAATCGAGTCTGGACCAGAAAAGCCAGTGATTGATATTATGAGCAACGATTCACGCCGACGAGGTACGATGACACGCAATCAAACAAATCTCGGAGCCTGACCACCCTATCACCTTCTTACGACCAGCATAAATTGCTGGAGACATATTGCCAACAGGGTCGAGGCATTAACTGGTTCTACTGTTGGTACGCGTAGCTAGTTATACCCTGACAGACAGGATCCAAGCATGTTTTGAATGACCCTAACAACATCCGGGTACACTTGGTTGGCGGATGCAGCGTACCCGGATGAACAACTTCGTCAAAGCAGAGACCATGAAATACATTTATTTTATGGTCTCTGATCAAAGTCTCACGTGATCTGCAGGCGGTCTTGGTTTTCCGCCATTTTTCGGTCGGAACTGCCTTCAAAACGGCTCGCTCTGTTCCAGTTGATGAGGTTACTGCCGAGTCCGTCTAGGTCGGTGTACCACATGACGTCGCCGTGCAGGTTGAACACCGACAGCCTTACCTGAGGAAAGAATACAACATTATCAGTATGGCTGATGAGTGAGTGAGTTCGGTTGAACGCTGATGAAAAATATTTTAGCAACATCACGGCGTGTCAGCTTGACGTGGGAGGAAAGCCTGAAGTGTTTCAGGTTTGTGAAGTTTACCACTTTCGCTGAAACAACATGGAAACATTAACAGACGTTAGAACCTACCATCACAGGTTGCGGGCACGCCCTAAGGGGACGCAACTCTCCACAGCGAATTGTAACGACGTAATCTACTGGGCCACCGGTGCCCCCTAATAGCTTAATGTATACATGAGCTAGTTATGTATATTCGTGATAAAGCACCGTTTTGTTTTAACCGACCTGTCTACAGTAAGCCAGTGAAGTGTGTTTAACGCTGAAGGGCGTAGTATTAGAGTGTTTCACAATGTCGTGTAAAGTACTCGAACGTGGAAATCCAGTGGTCTATAAGGTGAGCAATAATCCAATCCGTCAGTAATACGTACGACGCATAATCAGTCAGCAGGTCCCCGTTCCACAAAGCGATCGTAGAGCTACGACTGTCATAAGCCTTTGCTCAAGAATGGGCGTTACGATCATCTTAGCGCTACGATAGCTTTGTGGAACGGGGCCCTGATGGCATGTTTGGAATTTCCGGGTAGTTAGACATAGTGGTACTATCTCGAGAGTACCCGGTGAGTGAGTTGGGTTCAACACCGCTTTAAACTGTTCAGCAGTTACATCACGGCATGGAGGATAGCCCAAGTGACACAGTCCTAGAAACCCACGAGCGTGTGTATGGTGATGATAGATCCTGGAACATAATCCAATCAAATCCGGGATTCGAACCCACTACAAGCGCATCCTGGCACGGATTGGGGACGTAACTCTGCACAGCGAGTTGCAGCCCTTTCGACTACGGCCCTACCGTGAAGCCCATGCCAAGCTTTGGATAATAACGACCTAGGTTTGTATACGAACACAAATCAATGTGATATGATAGTAGCGAAGATCTAACAATGTCATCACTGCAACATATTAGAAGCAGCCATGTGGTTTACTGGTGTAATCGTTAACGAGAAAGCCATAAGTCTACACTTGATATCTGAATTTTACTACTGTGTCGTGGTTAAGCTTCTGTCCGACTATTTCCTGGCTGCATACAAGAATGCCTCTCTCAAACCTTAGCCGCGGCAAGCACATCTCTGTGCTGAAGTGTGCTCCTACCTATATACCAACAAGTTAGGTTTTGTTTACACCATGAAAACAGCCCGGAGGTTTGTGTAGCGACAAGTCAAAATCAAAATCGTTTATAGTGAGCAGCATAGAGATACGGTTACCGCAGCTATCAAACCTTGACATACAAGCGTGGGGATGAACGATGTTTATATACTAGAGACATGCAAACATTTATGTTGGTTTGTTGTTGTTTTACGGCGCACTCAAGCTTATATGACGGCGGTCTGTAAATAATCGAGTCTGGACCAGGCAATCCAGTGATTGATATCATGAGCATCGATCCCGTCAGTCGCCTCTTACGACAAGCAAACGTTTATGTAAAACTACAAGTTGTATTATTTTTGGTTGTTAATGTTTACCATTGTTTGGAATTGTGGGCGATTAAATTGTAAAACCGTCTAAACGTTTCTTTAAGTAGCATTTAAAGTTCGAATGATAAACAAGGGAGATAATTCTATGGATATACAACTTCTTTGTTACTTAATGCGACGTTTCGGTGAAGATACTCACACCGTTGATGTACAGATATTTGAAGTCGGTTGGTTTGTTGTTTAACGCCGCACTGAGCAATGTTCCAGCTATATGACGGCGGTCTGTGAATTGACAATCCAGTGATTGATATCATGAGCATCGTTCCACGTAATTGGGATTGATGACCTGCATCAACCAAGTCGGCGAGCCTGATCACCCGATCCCGTAAGACGCCTCTTATGACAAGCATAGTCGCCTAGCTTTTACTGCAAGCATGGGTTGCTGAAGACCTATTCAACCCCGGATCTTCACGTGTCAGGTATGTGAAGATGTAAGGGTATATACATGTGTGATAAAGAAGTTGTATATCCATAGACCTATCCCCCTTGTTCGTCTAAACCTTGGCAATATGGATGACCTTTTTCATTTGTATTTTTTTCTCTGAAACATATTCAATCAGATTCTGATTGTCGAGCGCATATGTGCATACCTCGCATTGCCATATTTGATGTTATTGACATTTGGTCCAAACATTGAAACCTTATGTTTATATCATTTCATGTTTGCTATTACCATCCTTAATTCGCGTTTTATCTTAGTCATAATTAAACCGAAGACCTTCGCCAACGTACAACAGTTTTATTTTCGATCTCCCAGTTGTCGATGGCGTCGCTTCTGAACTCATCGTGGGCCGCAGCGAGGTCAAACACGGAAGAGTAACTTGTGAGGGATGTGGTAGGGGCGAGTCCGCCCACGTTGTCGAATAGCTGACTCGGGGTGATGACGCTGTTTGTCTTCATCATGAACACCGTCCTCCACACTTGGAAACAGATTGATATACTGATGGTTAAAAGAATTCAAGCACTAACTTTAAATCAACAGATTATGGTTTCATACTTTATTATGTAAAAGCAAAATGATCGTTGATCAACAAATATAAGCAGTGCATTGGAGCAAGAGAAGTGCAAGATGAGACTGTTCAAATGGTTATATATACAACCAATGGCTGGCAAACTTTGTCTCCTGGATCTAGTACAGTCCGCCGCTTTGTGCAATAATCAGAGTTACAGATAAGCTGCGTATTTGCGTAATATACTCATCCCCCGGCGTCATCACTTGTGTCGATCATCGTCAACGAAATCGCTTGTCGAACAATGTCATCCTCTACGTTTAGGGGCGTCATAATATGTGTCGAACAGCGTATCACATGCGTCAAGGGGCGCCATAATATATGTCGAACAGCGTATCACATGCGTCAAGGGGCGTCATAATATGTGTCGAACAGCGTATCACATGCGTCAAGGGGCGCCATAATATATGTCGAACAGCGTATCACATGCGCCAAGGGGCGTCATAATATGTGTCGAACAGCGTATCACATGCGTCAAGGGGCGTCATAATATGTGTCGAACAGCGTATCACATGCGTCAAGGGGCGTCATAATATGTGTCGAACAGCGTATCACATGCGCCAAGGGGCGTCATAATATGTGTCGAACAGCGTATCACATGCGTCAAGGGACGTCATAATATGTGTCGAACAGCGTATCACATGCGTCAAGGGGCGTCATAATATGTGTCGAACAGCGTATCACATGCGTCAAGGGGCGTCATAATATGTGTCGAACAGCGTATCACATGCGCCAAGGGGCGTCATAATATGTGTCGAACAGCGTATCACATGCGTCAAGGGACGTCATAATATGTGTCGAACAGCGTATCACATGCGTCAAGGGGCGTCATAATATGTGTCGAACAGCGTATCACATGCGTATAGGAAGGGGCCTTCCATTTGAAATTGATGTTGGTTGGGTTTTCCCCAAACTGGGTATAATGTATGTCCGGGAAAGGTGTGTAAAAATAGAATTGACCAGCTCCTCCTGTCAGAGATTTTAACGTTTGTGTTCAACAGTGAGCGAAAATATATCTTGGTTGGTTTTTTAAAAAGCAAAAATAAGCTACCACCTACTCCCCGAATATATAATAATGGTCGGTCCCTGACGTCATCATCTGTGTGAGCAATAACGTTACATTTGTGTCCCAATCCTGACGTCAAACGCGTGAGGAACCGTTGTCCAATGTTCACGGTGTATCCTTTAATGTGGATGTCTGTGTTGCTGCTGGGCGTGGTCGCTCGTGCCCTTAAGCTACCTGGGACCGCTAGTCATTGGTTCGAATCCTATATTATCCCTACCATAATCCAGCACAAATCCAATCACTTAATTAAAATGAAGTGTTCATGGCGGCTTTCAACACGCTTCCTCATCCGACAGCTGCCACAGTGGGATAGTTTTGTATTGGATTTTGCTACCTGCGTGATTTATGTCCCCTTCATGTCGTGGTCAACGATATGTGAATAACATTACCCCCAAAACATTTCATGTATCAAATTAAATAGGTTGCATTTTAACATACCTATGGCGGATCCGACAGCGTCTATTGCCATGACAACAAACAACACCGATAATCTTCTCTGTGACATCTTTCTCAACATCGCAAAAGGATTAACTGTGAATGAAGAGCACTATATCAATGGGTCTAAACAAAATAACTACTGAATAAGCCCCTATTAACTCCACTGTAATGACTGAAAGACATATAACATAAGCTCTCAGTTAACTATTTGTTAGATCAGAGAAATGGTAATGAGATATATAAGAACGTTTTAAGTTATTTAAAGTAATAAAATGAGCAAACCAGTACATTTTTTTCTTTTTGTAAATTCAGAGATTTTTTTTTAATTTTAAGAATTCTATACACATTTTGAAAAACATCAACAGAATTGAACAAATTCACCTATCGCCAGTAAACAAGAGAAAACAAAGATTCCACATGTCGACATTGCTTGAAAACGGTACCAGTATTTTAAAGAATGTGAAAGCTATTGAAATTATTACCTTCATCCTGCTTTCACCGATACTACAGTTTCTAAAAGTGAGTAAGTGAGTATGGTTTTATACCGCTTTTAGCAATATCACACCGGAAAATGGGCTTCACACAGTGTACCCATGTGGGGAATCGAACCCGGGTCTTCGGCGTGACGAGCCAAAAGGCTAACCCACCGGCCCTAGTTTCTAAAAGAAACTTTAAATATGATCTTACACAGAATAACAAGATGACTTGTTATATAACTGTCTATAGAAATCTGACGTCACTATATTTTGCTTAAGCTGAAATAAATGAACCGACGATTACTACATAATAATAATACGGTGGAGAAATGTGAAACTTGCGTCATCACAGTTGTCAATATTTCAGAAATAGTTGTATTTTAGCCAAATGATCGTCGTTTATAAAGATGTGTATGTATATATCTCATCTAACTGAACTTACCTGCGTGTACAGGGACATCTCATCTCGGCACCTCCGCGCACTTGCTCCTAGTCTTCTCACCTTGGCCCCGAGTGTGATTAACGCCCAGAACCCCAGTTGGACTCAGTCATTTCCTGCTGGGTACTGTGATTGCTACAAATCTGTATAATCAATGATATCACAATGCGGCATTGAACAGGCACCGGAGTTTCCTCACAGAAATTTGCCTAATAGTTCCAGCTACTCCTAAAACGTCAGAGGACCGTCTGTAGGTCAAGTTGATGAAATCGTCATTAGAATCGTTTGATTGAGTTGTAGGAGGCGATATACATTAATATCCAAGTCTGGGCAATTATAATGACATATACCATGCAGTTTTAAAGAGAGTCTCACGGGTGGCTTCTTGTCAAGCGTTCTAGGTTGTTTGTTTGTTGTTTGACTAGCTATATGACGGCGATCTGTAGATAATCGAGTCTGGGCCAGACAATTCAGTGATTGAGATCATGAGCATCGATCTACGCAGTTGGGATATGATGACATACATCGACCTAGTCAACTAACCTGGTCCTTGTTCCACAAAGCAATCGCAGCACTACGACAGTCGTAAGTCTTTGTTAAATTATGGGAGTTACGATCATCATTGCGCTACGATCGCTTTGTGGAACGTGGCCCTGGTCACCTGATCCCGTTAGTCGCCTCTTATGAGTGAGTGCTTGAGTGAGTATGGTTTTACGCCCCCCTTTTTTTTAATTTTTTTTTTTTTTATAGCAAAATCTCGACGGGGGACACCAGAAATAGGCTTCACACATTGTATCAATGTTGGGAATCGAACCCGAGTCTTCGTCGTGAATAGCGAACCCTTTAACCTCAAGGCTACCCCACCGCCCGCCTCTAACTCCAAGCACAGGTTGCTGAAGACCTCTTCTAACCCGGAGGGAGCACGGGTTGCCCAGTCGTCTAAGGCGCCGCGATTCGCTGTGCAGAGTTCCGTCCCTTGGGCACGCCAGAAACCTATGATTGTGGGTTCGAATCCCGGTTCGCCCCGATTATGTTTCTAGGTTTGTCAGCACCATACCCGTGCTCGTGGGTTTCACCGAAGTGGTAAGCGTCTGAGACCTGCATCACTTCGGGCTTTCCTCCCACATTAAGCTGACACGCCGTGATATAACTGGAATACTGTTAAAAGCGGCGTTAAATCTAACTCACTCACTCACTCACTCTTCTAACCCGGACGTTCACGGTGGTCCAGCGCTTCAACGTTAACTGGCTTTGTTCCGAGGAGTTTGTATAGTCATCGAAACAGTCTTTTTGTGTAATGAGTTTCGTGTTGTAAGTAGTGTCGAAGATGCTGTCGATATTACGATAATCAATCAGTTTCTTCACGACATTTTTTTTTATATTTGTTCAATCTGCATAAACAGCTAACATTGATTGGGTAAAAATGACGTACAGTATCGTATTGCCATTAATTCGGCGCGTTCCATTGCCCCTTTCATTGTTTTCTGACAGTCCCTCTTGTAAAATGTCTCGTATCGAATAAATACAGTATAACCTCGTGTGCACGAGATTATTGAGAACATATAAAATATATTATACGAAGTTCGAGATAAGCAGGTTTGTAGCATCTGACACGAGCCTACATGTTTTGAGATCAAGAAGTTATTGTTTAGGGTATAAAGGTTTTACTTTAACAACATTCGAAATATTTACGGTTTCAGTGAAGCACCTTATCTTCTAAAGACCGTCGACCTAAAATAATTTATATCGCCCGTTGTGGTTGGTTTTAGACCAAGAGGATAAATTTTAACGTCCTAACCTAACATTTCTGCAGAGGCGCCTTGACACACCTAATATTCTACTGAAAACGACGTGTTAAACCCAGGTCAATCAGTCAGACAATTAGGTCATATACGAGACAGGACATATAATAAATTAATGAGAAGAGATTGGGAACAGACTTTGGTTTCAAACATTTCCTGCTTATTAGTCAAAGGTTTTTACGTGATTGTTTTTTGTGTGTTGAGTTCGTTTTTACTATGCTTTTAGCAATAGTCAAGCAATATGCCGGTAGGGACGCCAGACAGGAGCTTCACACTTTAGACCCGTGAAGATTCCGGGGTAGAATAGGTCTTCAGCAACCCATGCTTGCCGTGAAAGGTGACTATGCTTGTCGTAAAAGGCCACTAACGGGATCGGGTGGTCAAGGCTCGCTGACTTGGTTGATGCATGTCATCGATCCCAATTGCGTGGATCGATGATCATGATATCAATCACTGGATTGTCTGGTCCAGACTCGATAATTTACAGACCCCTGTCATATAGCTGGAAAGTGCGGCGTTCAACAACCAACCAACCAACCAACTTCACACTTTGCCCATTACATCACATATAAAACATCAACGCCAGAGAATAACCAGTCTCGATTATCCGACGAAACAGATTCCACTGGGCGTAAAAGGCAAAGAGCGGTGATGTTCTATGATGGTCACTGAAGATCAGTGCATGATGACACCAGGTGCTCACGTGTTTTGTTCTTAAATAACTGAATGCGTTACTACTGAGATTTTTGTATTTTCTTGGTCTTCCCGGGTTACTGGGTACTCTTCCTGTGCTGAAGTTCATATCCATCAGATCCCCATCAGTATCAGGGAGACAAAGCTACCGTGCGGTGACGGGACACGGAAATCCGGTGTACACTTACATTCACGAAGAGAACTATATCTCGTTCTCGGGGTAAAGGGATCTCTCTCCGCATCAAATAACACCAATGACTTCCTCATATTCATAGAAATAAATCCATAACAATAATATGTGTTATTAAGAAAATGCTTTGAAATGTTTTTAGGTGTCACAACCTAGAATGACCCACATCTATGCCACCTTTCGGCAACTCTCTTATCAGGCCAAAGTTATCGTCTAAGAATACCTCCATCAAAAGTACTACTGATGGAATAAATGTGTTTCCACGGGATCGATATCGTGACTATTTGCATCTACTGAAAAGTCTAGTCACATAATCACGTATGGATTGCTAACGGCAATAGACCCATTGAGCTGGTTCTGCTTTCCGCCATAACAATCAGATAATACGGTGCGGTTGGGGACAGGATTCGCCTTGACACGCCATGGGAAGAATGGGTATTAAGATGAAGAGGACCAAAAAAATCATAAAGTTTCTGTGAAAGCAAACCAGTAATGAGTGTGATTTATCAGGATTACAAAAAATGTTTAAAATCGACCGGCAAGAAAGGGTTTATTTGTTTGGCAAAGGTTGTTAACCGGTATGTTTGCGTGAAAATAATTAATATGTCAAGTATAGGGAGAAATTTCTTTGTTTGTTTGTTTAACGCCGCACGCAACGATATTCCAGCTATATGACGGCGGTCTGTAAATAATCGAGTCTGGACCAGACAATCCAGTGATTGACATCATGAGCATCGATCTACGCAATTGGGTTAGGATTACATGCATCAACCAAGTCAGCAAGCCTGACCACCCGATGGGGTTAGTCGCCTCTTCTGACAAGAATAGTCGCCGTTTACGGCAAACATGGGATGCTGTAGACCTACTTTGCCCCGGATTTTCGCGGATGCATTGGGAGGTTTGTTTGTTTGTTGTTTAACGCCGCTCTCAGCAGTATTCCATGCCAATCATGACAAATTCCGTATAAAAACCCAATCAAGATGAATCTGGTGTTTAAAACATGGATCCAGTGCCGTAGCACTACATGAAGTCCATGTCCCCTACAGAATCATAAAATTTATCTTAAAAAAATGATTTCATATTCAACAGTCATATTTTATGACATTTGTATTGCATTAGGAAGCATTTTATACTCTGGTTACAGGAACCAAACTAAGATCCCATTTTGTTGTATTTAAAAAAGTTCATATTTCTGAGGGAATAATCAAATGTCACACCAGTTTATAAACTAAAGTACGATTACTACTCCCTTGTTGTCATCCATGTTTTCTGGTATAGTCCTACACCTGTGTATTTGTCGTCATTCACTTGATGCTCGGTTAATAAATTGATCACATGTATAATTAGTGGTAGGACCACTCAGAGTACCTGACAAAGGTTCCCATTTGGCATGTATTGTGTCTGGGGTACTTATTCAATCTAAAGTCAGGTCTGAAGTGGGGTGAAATGTATGCTATGTAATATGCACGTGACAGCGCAGCACGAGACTCCATATAACTTTGGTCGGTCGTAATTACGATATTTGCATTTTGTTGTAAAATTGAACAGAATCATTCTTGTTCCTCTACGTTTTCGTTGGGAAGTTTTTCGATGCGAGCCAGAAAACACTAGGCCGCTGTTTTCACCAGACTTTTCGTTTGTAGGTATGTATATGTTACAGTCAATTTGTAAAATGTGATTCACTCAGGCAATTCACAAATTGTCTAAAGATTTCAGTCATTTTACAAATTGTCTAAAAAATATGTCCATTTATTTAACAGAATGACTAAAAAATATGATAACGTTCATTAGGGCTTACAAACATCACAGTAGACTAATTGTGCTTTGATTAGAAGCCAAAACATATTTCGTTTTCTTTTAAGTCCATCATTTTCAGTCTCTGGTTGATAACATTACACATAAACATAAAAATGCTTAGAATTCGTTATCATAATAAAATATATGGACAGATATTTCAGTCAATTTGTAAAATAACTGAATATTTCAGCATTTCATAAATTGCCTAGGTGAAAAGTTTAGTCATTTTACACATTCACTGTAATGATAAAATTAGGAATGCTCAGGTGAAATATATAGTTTGTGTTACAAGTAAAACAAGTGTAAACGCACAATACAAAGCAGGTGACTTATCAAAACTGTGTTGCCATTACCGATGCTTCTCCCAAGATACCTACATTTCCTTATTATTTCCAAAACAAAAGTGTATTTCATTTGGTTGATTCAATCTGGCTCTGCTTGTAGGTTTTCAAGTTGTACAAGAAGGTCTGCTTTGTTGCAAGATCTTATTTCTCCCAAATTCGACAATGAAGTAGGCCATGGCTGATTTTCATGTTTGAAGTAATTCCTACTCTTGACTGACATGCTATGTACAACCTGGAAAAAAGAGCACAGTCGCCCTTGGGAGCTGCAACCTGAGTCTTTTGAGTCGTTTCGTTTTATGTGCTGCAAATCCACCAGAACAAAATTTGTGGTACAGTGCTGGATGTTCTACTGACAAGGATGATATATCTCTGATATGAAATGAAAGCCATCGTGCATAGTTGACATGGTCTAACATGAAGACCCGTGGCATTAATCTGACAAGTGATGCTACATACTTTGGAAAATCTGCTTTTCGAATTGCACCCACCAGGCACAATATGCAAAGTTCTAGTTCAAGAACAAGGGACCAGTAGTGAAACTGGGGTTGAGAAGCTGACTTCGCAACACACCAGCTCCTGAAAGTTAGAAGGTATTCTTTGTTAGCTTCCGTTTCCGTATAATGAATATATGCCTGGTGTTGTAGCAGGTAGAGTGTAGCTGCTGTGATCTGATGGGCATGTCTTGTTCTTGTGAGGTGGGTACACTTGCTGAATGAATCAGCAACTCCACTTGATGCAACCCCAGCAGCACAGATTGCAGTTGTCCATCTGATGATCCTGAAAGCAGCTATTTCAATTTGCAATCTACCAAACATGATTAGAAATTTGTCTTCACCAAATGATTCGTGAAAGTTCCACTCATAAGCCTGTGTTCTTTTGACATGGCCGTTGGCTTTCATTGTATACATCTTGACGACGTTTAACTGTAAATAAACACAAAAACATGCATTATTTATCTCTGTATGGCATATCACTGTTTCGGGAAATGAAATAGAACTCCTTATATCTATGTTTGCACTGTATTTCCTTGTGTTCACTTCAGGTCTCCTTACATGAGTAGAATGAGTGGTCATGAAACTAGCATATTGGAGTGAAGATTTGATGGCACAATTTTCAAACTGTTAGTGATTGAAATATCTATTTATACCGTATTTTTCTCAATTTCATCCAATTTCCAAATTGTCCAGTCAGTTAAATTAAACATTCAATACATGTAGACTACACAGTATTTTGTTGAACTGCCAAAGACTTTGGTGAACCACTCATGAGGATGAAAATGTATGTTATTTCAAAGGTAAAAAGATATATAGTACAACTTATTTGTGCCCGAGGTTTTGGTTTCAAATGTTTCTTTGTTCTGGTGTCTTATTGACTGATGCTTGATAATGGTAAGATACTTACCGTTCAGATTTACCTGCCACAATAATGCTCTCCAAAATGTGTCATCTGCTACAAGCAGCCATCTTAGATTCTTCAGGGAAGATAATTCTGATACTACTTGCATAACAACTTATGTTATTTAGCATTTAGCTTTAAAGCCAAATTGAATTGAATTGGACAAATAATATTTTTCTTGTTAACAGATATTTGAAAATTTCTGAAAATTAAGCAATTTTGGTAGCCATCTTGGATTTCTGTCGCCACCAGGGGCACCGCATAATGAATTTATTTATATACAATTTTTGTAACGAACTCTTAATGAATTACTGAATTTGACCAGATATTTATGATACATTGAGCATAGATTGGCATCAGTGGAGACTTCAACCGAGTTGGCGGCCATCTTGAATTTTCTGCCACTAGGGGGCGCTGCTGAGGTGGATCCATATCCAGAAATGTTTGGAATGGTTCAATGTATAAGTGTGCCAAGTTTGGTGCTTTCAACCCAAAGCTCACAATTTTGACAAACTCCAGCCTTAACCGCCCCACTAATGCACCTTGTACCATTCATAAAAAGAGACAAATGCGCTTACAGTTGGCGCATCACAGGTCACGAACTAGTCAAGCTTTCTGGGATATACAGGGAAAAACAACAACTGATTTCGGTGAATTGCCCCTTTAAAGCTGCTGGGGGACCGAATGTCCGATTTGTCTAAGGCACCACAGTTCGCTGTGTAGAGTTGCGTCCTTTAGGCTCACCAGAAATCTATGATTGTTGGTTCGAATCGATGTTTCTAGGATTGTCAGTACCCGTGCTCATGGGTTTCACAAAAGTGGTAAACGTCTATAAGACGTGCATCACTTCCGGCTTTCCTCCCACACCAAGCTGACACGCCATGATATAACTGCAATACTGTCCAAAGTGGCGTAAAATCCAACACACTCACTTAAAGTGACACTTTCGCTTTATGGACTTTGACCAGCAGCGCTAAAAGCTGCAATAAGAAAATCCCTTGGTATTCTTATTTGCTTGCACACAAAACATGAAAAGTATGGTTTAACAAATGTATACATTTTCATTGTAAGAGCTCCACCATATTTGTCAAAGGCAATAAATAACCCTGCCATGGTAAAACTTAAAAAAGAAATCCCCCAAATTTGGGTCTTTGAATATATTTTAGCACTGTGTTGATCCAAAGATAACTGCAAAACAATGACTTCATTCAGATATACACTTTATTACAAATTTACAGTTATGGTACAAACAACTCTCTCACTTTCCACATACATGCCATAATATCACTCCTTTTGTTGAGGACAATACTGACAGGGGTATTCTGGATGGACAAGCAATTTTATCATTAGAAGATGGTCATCATCATTTGAATTCCCTTCCATATAAATTATGTTTCAATATTTAATCTACTGCATTTCATAAGAAGGTTCAGTTCCAACACTTCAGTTACAGTCCTATCTTGTAACACAGGATGTTGGGATCAATGTTTTGTACAATGCTCACATGATTCTATACACATCACTCAACAAAGCTTCCACAGGAAAATATTGTCTTACAACCAGCTGTTGGGTTCAGTGTTAAATAGGTTCTCTGTACTCCTTGCTAGACAAACCAATAGACATTAACATTGATTGGCTGACAAACCAACTGACATTAATATTGATTGGCTGACAAAACAACTGAGATAAACATTGATTGGATGACAAACCAACCGTCATAAACATTCATTAGGAGGTCACAAAGTGTGCTCTGGCAGATATTTATGACAATTAATTCGAAACTATCGTTTTCAACTGCTGATTGGCTGATTAGAAGGTTCACCTGGTGTGACCTATGGTCATCAGATCTACATGCAGACAGGTATCATACTGTAGTAATACACTTCATATATATGAGATGGCTATCTTTCTGAATTGAGTTCAACAACTGAGATACACTTTCTATAATTAATTAAAGCACCTATTATGTCAAAAGTACAGATGTATATTGTGTGAGATACCTCTGAACATAAACAGTCCAAGTGATGATCTAAGCTGTATTCTCCAATCAGTCACTCCACCTCCCACACAGCTGTAGCGGGTACCATAATCAGGCCTTTTTTGTTTTGTTTAACGCACACTCAGCAATATTCAAACTATATGACGGCGGTCTGTAAATAATCGAGTCTAGACCAGACAATTCAGTGATTGAGATCATGAGAATCAATCTATATAATTGGGATATGATGACATGCATCAACCAAGTCAGCAAGCCTGACCACCCGATTCCGTTAGTCACCTCTTACGACAAGCATGGGATGCTGAAGACCAACACTTACCCGGATGTTCACGGGTCATGATCAGCTCCATGTCCACAGATGTGCAAGTGAATGCTTGTGTTTTCACATAATGATGGGAAGACAAAGAATTCAGATTCTGAAAGCATGGGAATCAAACCTGTCCATAGGCAAGTCAACACCCAGAGCACCTGTCCATATGAACCTACAGATCATGTACGTAGTGATGTTCTGAGAGCATGTACTTGTGTTATCTACTGTCTGCCCCTCTGTCAGGCAAACTACTTCTGGAAATGGACCCTTGATCCATTCATTGTTTAATGCCCTTCACGCTGACAGTTGACTGCAGGACTGGGAGTATTTTCAGATGTATTTAACACAGGAGGTCCAGAACCCTATGTTTAGAACTTTTCCCCATTTTTTTCTAAGTTCATGTCTGGAACAAGTGGCTCTCCAGGACCAGATGTTTGCAGCTGGTGAATTGAAGAACCTCGGCCTGGAACTGGCGCAGGTACCGCATAGCTTCCCGATCCTCCCTACTGTTACGCTTGTATCTCTTTTGTTTGAGGAGTTTGTCGACCAAGTAGTGGAGCCACAGAATGTTGGAGTGAGGGTTGAACGGCTCCCACTCATTCCTGGAGGAAAAGAGCATTGAAGACGTGTCATTGTAGAACCGTTGGTGTTTAGAATGCAGCAACAAGGCATAAATCTACATGAAACCACATTACCCTAGCAATTATCATAATCACAATATATGAATAGATTTGAATAAAAAAGTGAAGAGAGAGAGAGACACAGAGAAAGGTCTATGCCCCACTGGGGTAGATTCATGCAACAGAGAGAGAGAGTGAGAGAGCAAGAGAGACGTCCATCTCACTGTGGTAGATTAATATTTCAGTGCAACAGAGTAACCTGTGCATGACTAAGCTACAGTGTGGGTTGCCTCACTTGTTCTCTATCTTCATGTTCCTGTAGATGTCAAACTGATAGTCCCCGGTGCCCTCGAACAAGCTGTCGTCCTTCGATATGTCGCAGAACACTGTACAGCCATCTGAAATAAACAACTAAGATGAGACCATGTTTTTGGTAATTATATTTCTTGGGGACTTGGGATTTGGTTTCAAGGATAGATATTTTTTCAGCTACAGCTACAAACCAGACATATCATTTTTTTAAACTATGAGCCTGAATTATTTTAAAGAAAAACACCTTGCAACAATGTAATTTTTGTGGTTGGCAAAGTCTTTTTCCAACAGCCTGAAGTGCCATTATTATCGGGAGAATATGAAAGGGTCGGTCCCTAGGACAGACAAACTTCTGAGTTTTGCTCTGTCCAATTTGAAAGCATAACTCACCCTTCCTGAGTCTGGACAATGTGAAGTCAATGATGCTGACCATAACGCCATGACTCTCCGTCTCAACAACACCATCAGCAAGACGGTAAGTGATGTTGTCATCAGTGCTGTTGCTTCGCACAAGGACATTGCCGATGTGTAGATCTCGATGCTCAAACTCTAGCTGTTCCTCCGCCACGGCCAGAGACACAGAGACCTGCTGGAGAATGCTCTTAGCCTGCCAGGGATGAGCAAACTGGAACACATTCAACAACACTGATCAGACTTACATAGCAGTGAACATTTTAAACAAAGAGCGTCTTGGAAATCCAAATTACATTTCTCCAACATCTATATTTTTGTACAGTGAGAACCAACTAGTTCAAAACTCCCAGGTATGAGTTGGAACAGGTAATTTTTCTAGAAATCTTTCAACTCTTTAAACTCTACTTAAGTGTGATGTCAGTTTAACATTTTAAAATGTTTGGGCTACATCCTGGCATGCAAGATTAATGAGGGAGAAAACCCTTAATCAATTGCTGCAGGTGTTCAATGTAAATGACATTTGTGAAACCCTGCAAACATCATTAATTTGGGGGTAAGGCGAAATGGGGTCGAACGTTGCATTGAACGTTTTTGCACCTATAACCATCAACAATGAATGGTGTCAGCATCTGCTATGATATCAACAATGATTTCGAAAAACCTACACTAACCCCTTCACCAATCTTTGAGTTCTCACGATCTGCCCTTGATATTCATTAACATTTTCCCGACCAGTTAACGTCAAGGTGAGGAAAAAGAACATGGGTAAGATAGGTAACTCGTATTGCCTAGAAACCAAAGCCAGCACCATTTTGACGCACATGAAGACATTCTTTCCATCAATCTTTTCAGGGCTTTCTTTTGCGTGTCAGTCAGTTTTTCAACGTAGAATTTCTAGCAAACACTATTGACATGAGACTGACCGCCATGTTGTTGATATCACCAACCCACCATTGAGGCTGGCTTGTAACTTGCATTCTAATTGGTATGTTTGACCTAGTAGCATAACCAATCATTTTGCCTAAAGGGGGTGTAATTTGAGATTGCGAGAACCAGGGGGATGGGGCCAGGGGTTAGTGTAGGTTTACTGAAATGCTAGCCCTGGTGAAATAGAGGATGCAGTGTATATAACATTAACTACATCTGTTTTGCGTAGGTTTCTTGTGATGACTGCATAGTGATGACTGTGTAGTGATGACTAACATTGCCGAGGGAGTTTATGTATTGCATAAACAACCATGTTGGCATAACACCAACAATGCTCTCACTTTGGATGGGTCTATTCATGAACCAATGCATCACTATTCCACTGTGTCCATGTACCTACAAACTCTTGATATGTAAAGTAAGGCCAAGTCAATACTTGTCAGACAGTACCTGAAAAGACTCGAGGTCAGACCCCCCATCAGCAAACTCAAACAAGATGAACAGCTGGTTCTCATCAAATATATCTGAAAACAGAATACAGCACAACTTTCAGAAACATTGGTATGACATAGTTAGAGAATACCAGTGAGCCATGAGGAATTGTGGATTATCTATCCCGAGACAATAGTGTAAGTCCCGAGCCCAAGGGACGAACAGCATTTATTCTGAGTGAGTGAGTGAGTGAGTGAGTGAGTGAGTGAGTGAAAGAGTTGGATTTAGCAACACTTTCACTGGTCACAGTTGTATGATGGAGTTTCAGTGAAACATGCCCCATGTGGGAGGAAGGCCTGAAGTGAAGCATGTCTTAGACATTGACTGTTTATGGGTGAAACCTATATAAAGCAAATGAAGGATATGGTGCTGGCGAAACAAGGATTATAACATGGGCATATCTAATTGGAACTCTTTATGATTGGATCATGGTGTGACGAAGCATTGTGAACTGGGAATTCCATATGTAACAATGAGAGATGGGAAAAGGCCATAAAAACAATTTACTGCAAACTTTCCAAACTATATTTTCATATTTTCAGGTGATTGTTGTCAAAGGAATTTGATCTTTCTCATAGAAAATCCGCAACTTACAAAATGAGGATGAGGACCACATAATATGAGGACATGAAACACTCTAACCTGGTCGATCATTTTCCGATTTCCTTTTCTTGTTGTAGATATCCCACTGTGCTAGCAGGTGGTCCGGGTAGCGGCCTTGTACACACGCCACACTAGAAACATGGAACATATACATGCAACACTGTCAACATGATTCAAACACGGAACCATCATGCACTACCAAACAGTTGACAGATCCCAGTTGACCCATCTACAGTTTCACAGGAACATAAGAATTACGATTTCCTTTTCATGACAAAGTGTGTTACCTGTAGATTTGCTTGTACAATGAGGTAAGGTGCAATGGGGTTTAATGTCGTGCCCAAGATTATTGCACTTACATAGCGACATGCATGCTTGTACTAGTCCGGACCGATGCCAAAGTTTACAGTTCTAGCCCACTGAGATACTATGACACAGTTTAACATGAATACCCCATTCAAACACAGTATACTGACTCCGAGCTGACCATACGTTGTTTAAGCCCCTTAATGCCGAGCACCTAGGCAGGGTAAATGCAAGTACCATCTTTTAATGTCTTTTGGTATAACCAGGCCTGGATCAAACCTTTGACCTTCCGCTCTCCTGGCAGAGGTGGTCGCTTGTACAATGTACTATGTGAGGTGAGGTGAAATTGGGTTTAACATCGCGTCCAAGATTATTGCACTTATATAGTGACGTGTATGTACGTGTGTGTGTGTGTGTGGCTGCTTGTACTAGTCCGGACTGATGCCGATTTATAGTGCTAGCTCACTGAGATACCATGCCACAGTTTAACATCAATACCCCATTCAGACACAATATACTGACTCCGAGCCGACCAGTCCTTGTTTTAGCCCCTTAATGCCGAGCGCCAGACAGGGTAACAACAAGTACCATCTTTTAACGTCTTTTGGTATGACGCGGTCAGGGATCGAACCACTAGACCACGGAGGCGGTCTGCTTGTACAATGAGCCCTAACTATGAGTGTCTGAGTGCCTGAGTATAACTGTGTGGGAACTTACCTGTTGACCCGACAGAAGTTGGGTGTGGTGTTCCTGCCCTGGAGGCGGAGACCACTCAGCTCTCTGTAGAATACAAGCAGTGAGTGAGTGAGTGAGTGAGTGAGTGAGTGAATACTTGGTGAGTAAACCACTTTGAGTAGTTGCAGGCTGGGGCAGAACGCACACAAAAAACAAAACAAAAAATGACCTCCTTTGTGGGTTCCGTTTTGCTACTTTTCTGATATCTACTCGGGTACCCACTGCAGGTCTCAAAAGATTGGTAAAAAATGTCTGACAGAGAATTGTTCAACCAGAGCCCTGACAAAACTATTTTAGTACACTATACAACGATCTTGTCATGCATAACTGAAGTTGACTGAAGCATATTTTTATTAAAAAATATAAAAGTCAGAAGGAATGCGTGAATAGTCCGAAAGAAATGTGAACATTCCTGTCCTGTAGTGTATTCATGGAGTTCTAGATAATTTTGGTCTTTAAACAATATATCATTTGACTAACCACATGTCCGGGTAGTCCTGTAGGTACACAGTTATTACTGAGTTTCCTGCCAACCCTAGAACCTAAGCCATAATACAAGATATAATTTTTTAGTTTATAATTTTATATTCCTTTTGTTGGGAACTTACGTCGAGATGACAACTTCCGGCAGAATCTCTGAGAATGTTTTCTGTGGTTCATCATTCACCTCGAAGTTTCCCTCTATTGGAATAATCTGGAAGGGAAGGAACCGGTTGTCAATTAATGGTCAACACTGATTTCAGGTACTTGTAACAAACTGCAACACATGTTACATGGCACTACTTTATTTGGTGCGTTACTGTGGTTACCGATGGCTGGGGGCGGTCGGGTAGCCTAGTGGTTAAAGCGTTCACTCGTCACGCCAAAGACCCATGTTTGATTCCCAACATGGGTACAACGTGTGAAGCCCATTTCTGGAGTCCCCCACCGTGATATTGCTGGAATATTGCTAAAAGCGGCATAAAACTGTACTCACACACTCACTCACTCACTACAGATGGCTGAAAATCACCAGAATAATTTCATATTTCATTTTCATTTTTATATGCCATGTCTCCAAGGTGGCTGTGGTGGGCAAATTGATGTTATTGAGCACATCACAGTCATAGTAGGAAGGTAACAATAAATCAGGGCACTGTTTATCAGAATACATTATCAGTCTGTGTCAAAACATTGGTGTCTACTTGTACATGTTGTATCTTGGCTTCAGTAGATTTTAGGACTAGCATCACTGATCTTACTAGATCCGAACAAATTTACTACATGTACCAGTAAACTAGACTTGGGTTTTGGAGTGGCTAATGTCACAGACTGCATTTGTCCAGAATAAGTAGTAGTAAAACAATCTTGTAGACATATTTTTTTCATTATTTGTTGTTTTAATTTGTATCCTATCATGCTTTGGAATATTTCAAAATGTTGTTATACAAACAAGATACGAAAAGGGAATACAACAGTATGACAAACCAACCAAAATAGCAATATACATAGGTATCCTCACAAAATCAGCAGCAAACACAAACATTAACTAACATTAACAACCTGACGATCCAATGATACAGTGAATGATCTCATGACTAAGTAGTTAGAACTAACATTCCATGGTTCAACATTTCAGTTTTCAGTTAAGGGTTGATCTGCCTTTCCACGACATCCAGACAAAGACCTACCTTGATAGCGACTGAGTTCCCACTGCGATCAGCTCGGAAGACTTCACCGTACACACCCTCACCTATCTTCACAATCTTCTTCATCATGCTGAAACAAGGGCAAACACCTCTAGCATATCAAATATACTCCTTCCCTTCCTGCTGGTTTGGGTCACAGCATGGTACACTATATTATCACGGTAATTAAGTCATAATGGTGACACTTACTAACCTATTAAATATGTCACATGCAAAATGTTTCTTATTCTTTGTCGAACTTTTATGACACATCAATTAGGATTGATTGATTGATGGAGATTTTCTTTAGCGAGTTCGGTAAACAAAGTACCTGTCATTGGCGACAAAAGGGAGGGCATCACTATTTTGTGGCGTGATACGTGTGGATTATGTGGTTTACAACACTTCCTGTTTTGGATTATGCATAATCAGTATTCATACGACCTAGGTTGGGTCAAGGGACATCGTCCAAACAAATGGGTTCTTTTCGAATCAATTTCGAATGGAGGTAGGGGTAATTCCACTTCAAAAACATTCCAGAAACTATCATAAAAAAGTTGTTGATGACAAGATTTACCTATACTGCGATAATATAGAGTCATACCATAAAAGCTGACTAAAGTGGGGATTTGCTGCTCAAGCATTCAGTCACTGGTTGCCCTGGTTATATAATGGCCATTGTGACAGCTTGAATATTGCTGACTCTGAAATTCACGGTAGAGCACTGGCCCGATACTTCTAAACAGTGATCAGGATAAGTGAAAATCGAATGATGTTAGTCCTCACAGACTAGTAGCATTTGAGGGCTATAATTCTTCCAATTTTATTGCCAACATGGCCATGGGTACTTAGTTTGGAATCCTAGGTAAATCCCTGCAACCCCCCCTGAACATGAACCACACAGTTTCCTTGGAGCTTGGAATTAGCATCAGATGTGGTTCCTGCACTGATATCTAAATTTCCAATCTTAGATTGTTAGTTTTGATGAATTTCATTGACAACTAATATTCATGTGATGAAATAACTAACAAAACAGAGCATTATAGAAAGCAAAATGATTGCTTGGATGAGGTATAAACACAGGTATCTCTTAATTTTGACATTAATGTTTTATTGCTACTATACGTACTTGTCAGGGATGACGTCCTGGAAGGTGACGGGCGCCTTCTGTTCACACATCTGGAAGAGTTTACTTCTTGGCGATAATGGTGGGGATGACTGCGACTTTTTGTTGGGCGTCAGCATCTCCTGTAGTCACAGACAAGTAGCTGAGTCAAAGTCATTTCAGAGTGAGTGAGTTTGGTTTTACGCCGCTTTTAGTAATATTCCAGCAATATCACGGCGGGGGACACCAGAAATGGGCTTCACACATTGTACCCATGTCGGGAATTGAACCCGGGTCCTCGGCGTGACGAGCAAACACTTTAACCACTAGGCTACCCGACCGCCCCAGAGAGAGTCATTTCAGAAGGAACCTTACATGATCAAAGGATTGCTGCTTGCTTTGTGGATCTGGCCCCATTCCACAAGGCGATCTTAGCACTATATCATGCTATATGGTCGTAAATCTATGTTAAAGATAGTCATGATAATCGTAGCCCTAAATTGCTGTGTGGAACAGGGCCAAGCAATCTCATTAAAATCATATCTTAGTTCTCGCTACCACTTTGTTTAGCGGCAGCGAGAACTAAGATCTGATTTAATGAGATTGAGGGCCAAGAGCAGGAGATCTCTGCAGCATCAAAACAGGGGTTGAATATTGAATACAGCTTAACATTTCCAGCAGTGTTACAAACTACATAAACAGAGTTAAGGGGGTCCTGAGATCCGAGCCAGTTCTGGTTTTCTGCAATAGTATCTACATGATCCAGGGATTCCTAATGATAGTTTTTACATAACACTTATCTACACATAGACAAATTAAACTGTACGCATATGTGTTACACAACAGACATGTTGTACTTGTAGCCAGATCAGAAGATCAACGAAACAAGAACTCACCACAAATGACCTGGACATGTTCCCATCATCAAAGGTCTTCTCCAGATGCTTGTTTTTCTTCCTGTCTTTGACTCGCCTGTCTTGATGCACGGCGCTCGACCCCTCAGCAGTTCGGTAGAAGGATCCGTCGGACTCTGCAGAGTAATACACCGACTTCTGTAATCCCTGCAGAGATCCTACGGACATATCCATCTCCTTCACCTCCGACAAGTACCCCGACACCATCTCTACGGACCAATCACCACTCACTACATTATCTGTAAGAGAATATTTTGTCTCATCGATCCCACCAGCTGAACTGTCCTCATCTTCATCTTCCTCATCCTCATAGATGTCACTGAGGTCCTCCTCTTCCTCGTCTTCCTCTGTGCTGTAATCTGTACTATATTCCTCCCCACCCTGTTTGTCAACCAAACTTAAGTCCACTTTTGGGCAGCATTCGTCTCCCCCTGTATCCACATTCTGTGACCTTAACTTTCTACCACTTATCACATTTTCAGTCTCTTTCGATATTGAACGTGTTTTGTGTATATTTGTCCTTAATGGAGAAAAGACATTATCACTAAGCTGTGACCGTAACAGGCTATCACGCATTTTTTGTAACTGCACCACACAACTGTTTGGACTAATTTGTCGACTAGAGTCTGAGACGTTTCTTGATAGATGTGATGACCTTGCCTCTATGGAACTGTCAAAAAGGCTCTGAGACTGCTGGAAGGAGTCCAAAGCCGAGGTTGTGCTCGCATCGCCCTGGTCACCACGTCTCCATGAACGATCACTTATATGCAAGTTCTGAACACTCTCCTGTAGCAGTTTCACGTCTCGGTCCTTCAATGTCTTCATGTTCTTATCAACGGAAAGATGAGGACTGTTATTCCTATCTGACCTCTTGGCAGCATTACTAGACACAACTAATGATGGGCTAGCACCATAGCTGGATGTTATACCGGTCATATCAGACAATGAATGTGGCGAGTCTTGAAGACTACTGTGAAGATCGGAAACAAATGGACTGTCTTCTACAAGGTCAATAAGAGATATATTGGGATCCTTAATCTTCTCTACTATGTGACTGTTCTTCTTGGCGTCCCGGAAAGGAGTACTTGTCTCGATGCCAGAAGTCAAGGCTTTGTTCTTGGGCTTCTTGTTGGCACTTTGTGGTGTTCCAGACAGCACAACAAGACTGTAATCGTCAAACTCACTGAAGTTGTAGGAAAGATCATCTTTCTTCTTGTTGGTTGCTTTTTGCTTGTGTCTGCGAGTGCGTCGTTTTGAAGCCGGACTTCCTGTGGACATGGAGGAATCTGTCAGGCCATTCCTGTCCCGCAGAACCCTCTGATTCACAGCCTTGACTGAAAACACTAAACTTTCTCCTCCTGTGCTTGAACAACTGTCCTGAAAATACATCAACATGAGTGAGTGCTGGGACAGAAATGTAGTTTGTGTTTGTTTGTGGTTTAATGCGACTCAGGTATTTTCCAGCTTTATGACATCGGTCTGTACAAAATGGAGTCTTGCAATCCACTGACTGACACTGGTCCACTGACTTGATAAAATAATTATTTACCTTTTCTGTTTCTGAGAAAACAGCAAATTTTTTCCCCTTCTTATTTCCTCCATTTTTCTTGATGTAACGGTTCTCCTTATTTACTCCCTTTGTTTTTTGTGTCTTGGTGTTCTTTGTATTCTTGGCACTGTATAAGAATCACATTACATCAATATCTTAGAACATATGTGAGTGAGTGAGTGAGTGAGTATGGTTTTAAGCCGCTTTTAGCAATATTCCAGCAATATCATGGCAGGGGACACCAGAAATGGGCTTCACACATTGTACCCATGTCGGGAATCGAACCCGGGTCTTCGGCATGACGAGCGAACGCTTTAACCACTAGGCTACCCGACTGCCCCCTTAGAACATATGTACTCACTACACCAAAATGCAACTTTCTAGTATAGTGTTTGACAAATACCAGTACATATTATTCAGGAACAGCATGTCTGCTTTTATCATCTTTTTACATGATAAGTGAGACTTCAAACTAATCAAAAGCAACATTTTTTTCTGGAACAACTGATAAGAGACACAATAACAAAATATAGAATTATTTTACATTTGCAAGGGGACACCCAAGACAAGCTGACTTAGTTTGAAATATATACTTATATGAGTATTACCGATGTTCAACAACAAAGATTTATAAGGTACTTTATTTGCCGGTCCATAGGGCCTGGCAGTCACATGAATTACAGTCCAAGCCTAATTTTATAGGTAAAAACTGGCAATTACTGAACAACATGAACACTGACGAAGTCTTTGGCCACTGTACACACTTATATTAAATACAAATAACAACAAAGTAAATACATGCAAAGGCTGGTCTTTGACAATGCTTAAACATGGCCAAATAGTTTGCATATTGCACTTAAAACATGTAAAAAAGAGAACTCCTAAAACAACTGAACATGCCTAATGCCAAGTGAAATAGAAAAATATTGAGCTACACAAATAAGTTTATTTTGGAATATTTGCAGTCAGAACTTGCAAAATCATATCTATTATAAGGCCTGACTACCATGACTAAAACACAGTATATGTAAATTGCTGTTCATTACGTGGTTTTCCTTTTGGTCACTGGTACTTTCTTTGACAGATCAAGTAAGGACACATCACTTTCAGCAGAGGATAAGTTGATTGACCCCCCAGAGCTGAAACTGAACACATGCTTCTTCTTGTCTTCATCGGAACTCCAGACGTCTGTGGCCACCACACGGTTCCTGTGACGGCCATATGTTGTCAGTACTGACTTGTCCCGCCGCCCCATGTTTCACTAGCAAAGAAAAAACAACTGACATCTTCATTTCTGATAGTAAAGATATCACTGTAGTGTATTAAGAGTTCTAGTCAAGTAATTCAGTTAGCTTAATGTAGTAATGACTTAGCCTAATGTGTGAATGAGTTGGCATTAAACCTGTATTACTTCATGACTTCACCATGTTCACAGTCTTGACAAACTGTAGATGGAAAAATGGATGGACTTATATGGCAAATACAATAACACTTTAGGCCTAGTTTGCATCTAGGCCAGTAGCAAATGTTCACAGGAGCCGACGATAAATGTCCATTTGGTTTCGGAATCGAGATGTACATTCAAGATCTTTTTATCATTATTACTGGCCCAGAGTTGAGGAGAAATTGCATGAACGTGGAGTTTTCAAATAATCTGCCCGGGGAACACTGGTTCATAACTTCATATGATATCATTATCAAATTATCCTGGTCATAAACTACAGCTCTATTTCCATTGAAATTCAGATGTATTTGCAGGTTTTCACTCATGAAAAACAACTCAGTAATAAATCAAACACTCACAATAGCCTGTATATTACTACATTGCATGCGTTATTTTTGGACTTATGTGTAAAAAAATCATGAGATCGTGTTTTTGTGGTGACGGTATCGTACACAAAGTGAACAGTTAAGGAAACAAAATTTACCGTAGTCAAAATCAGCGCCATGTTCAAACAGATATAACAAGTATCCTGATTGGTCTATTTTGTTACCTCTCTATTGATTGGTCACACTTCGCGGACGTCACTTCCGTCAACAATGCCATGTGTTGATTACATAAACTGCCCAGCAGCGAAGTTTTTTGCAGGCAAGTGAAAGGTGTAAGAACCGCGTTTTTTTCTCACAAAAGCATTAATAATAATAATCTGATTCAAATATGTCCTGAATGAAATAGTCACATCTGGAATATCGCACATTGCAGCTTAACAACATTCACTCGCTCGACCATATATGAAGGATATATTAAAATTTGATCCCAATTAGTGTCAGTTACTTGATTGAATTACTTACTGTGTGTAATGAGTGAAATCACATTAGAATGTTATCATTGTCTCGTATTTAGGAAAGCTAATGAGGCTGTGTATTAGCTTCCGCATATATCTGACACATTTATGAAAATGAATACTTAGTAACAGCGACCATGGTCTCTGCATGCAGCAAGGTAATAAATTGTACATATTTTGACGCCCGAAACCAGAAGAAATGACCTTATCTGAAATATCGAATCAACAGACTTCAACTGAAGCAAGTGGTCAAGCAAAGGATTCTGTGCAGAATCGACCCTGTACATGCATCAATTTAAGTGATTGAAGTTCAAGTAACAAATTAGGTTTCCCTGTATTTCAGCCACAACAGTAAAAGATTCCAGGCTGCCTGTCATCAGAGGTTTTACCGATCAGATACCATTACATTTTTTTAGGGTTTCTGATGTGATGTTTGATCTTTATTAGTGTCATTTACTTGATAAGTTGATTAGTACTACCTTGATTGAACATTACTTATTGTGTGTATGCATATAAAATAAGTAAAACCACAACGAATAAACAAATCCAGGCTGCATGTAATGTGCAGTCTCTCTTGGAGACCCTTGAACACATGTTTTATCAACCAGGCATATAAATGTATTTTGTTTCAAGTCTGCCAAAGGGCAGTCCTGTTGACGTTATTGGGGCCCTTTGAGACTTGAGCATGTCAACCAGAAGAATCTGAATATTTTTCAATGAAAAATGAAATAGGCTATTTAAAATTCTGTTCAGGAAGCCTGTTCCTGTGTTCACTATATTCCATATGATTGTCCAGTTTACTTGTGTGAAAGTACAATTATCACTGACTTCACGTAATACAAATTGGACATATATTTATTTATTTTGTTAAAAAAATGTATTTCTACAATGTTCTTAGTGTACCTTTAAGGCACTGGGCATTAATTAATCTAGTCATAATGAATTTACATTGCCATGAGTACTTTAATACAAGATATTTTGAACCATGAAAACACCACCGTACTCTCCCATCTGCTTCTCATCTGAAGTTCAGAGACTCAAGGGTTTCCTTATAGTTTTATTTTATCAAAACTTATGCATGACTATTCTTATACTACTAACAGGAGGTTAAGGACTGCACAATTCTTTCATATTACTATAGTTAATCCGACATGGCATGACAGATTAACTTTTGTAATATGAAATAATCAAGTGGTCCTTAACTTCTATGGAGAACTATAGGTTTAGGGACTATGTGTCACTTACATATAGATAAGTCTGCTTTTTATTATACCTAGATTCATCAAGTTAGGCATGTGCTAAACATCATGGCAGCTGTATCACTTGTCCAGGGAGCGAGTCGCGGAATTGGACTTCAGTTCTGTCGTACATTGCTTGCCCGTGGTCCAGACTCTGTTGTCATAGCGACATGTCGATCACCAAACTCTGCAACAGATCTTCAAAAGCTGTCCCAGCAATACCCGAGCCAGCTCCGCATCCACCAGCTAGACATTACAAGTGAGGGTGATATAGAAAAATCATCACGCATAATCACTGAAGAAACAGACAGACTGGATCTCCTCATCAACTCTGCAGGCATGCTGCATCCGTCCGGGCGTGGAGAAACAAGTCTCAAGGACGTATCCGCAGAGGTAATAGGGGAATTCAGGACTGTCTTTTTTAAATGCATATTTATATTTTTGGAACACGTTGAATATCTGTGATGATAATCTCAGCACAAGTCGTATATTTTATGACTATGTAGCAGGGCGTGGAGTTATCCCACAGATGACATCCTTACCTTGTCAGCTTGCTGACGGGGTTAACCTCTTTGGTCATGTGGACAAGGCGTCCGACCTCTGATCAGAAGGTCCGTGGTTCAAATCCCATCACGGGACTCGGAAATTTTATGGCCGCTACATTGGCGCCCAACGTGGGGCTGAGCACGTTCATATTAAATTTGAGCAAAATAAGCCTCATTACCCTACTATGCGGCCCGGGACGTGCCTTCTGTTGACGGGGGAGTATGTAGCAGGGCGTGGAGTTATCCCACAGATGACATCCTTACCTTGTCAGCTTGCTGACGGGGTTAACCTCTTTGGTCATGTGGACAAGGCGTCCGACCTCTGATCAGAAGGTCCGTGGTTCGAATCCCATCACGGGACTCGGAAATTTTATGGCCGCTACAACTACTTCATGTAATTTAATTGCAAGTTCTCTCAAGTACATGTATAGTCTGGAAGGTAATTTAAGGTACCAGGAATCACGCACGTTGAGATCCCTTACGCTAACACCGTATTCGTGCGTGCGTGATTCCTGTGCACCCTTTCGAGTTGAGTTGATTGGTTCAACTGTGTCATATGGCCCTGTGACGCAGGGGTAGCATTATGCAGATGGCTGTTTCAATGAATGCTCGTTCCACCCGTGACGAACAGGTCTGGTTGTTGATGAAATATAGTGATAGCTAAATAGACAGATTTTTTATTCATGCACCAATTGTCTTTAAATGAAATATCCAGTTATGTATAACTGTTTAATAATCTCATACCAACTTTGACTGGAGTAGGTCCAATAGTTTTTCAGATATTGTAGTAAATGTCGGTACCTTAAATTAACTTCCAGACTATAGTAGCTTTGTCATCTTTCTGTGTCCAGGGTTCACATGTCTATGCTACACCAACCCCTGGATTAATCCCTGGGGTTCTCGCGATCTCAAGTTAACCACCATTGATTTTAGGCAATTTGATTTGCTATGCTACTCAGTCTAACAGACCAATCAGAATGCGAGTGACAAACCAGCCTCAATGTTGGGTTGGCGATATCGACAACATGGTAGACAGTCCTACTGATTATGATAGAGTTGGCGAAAAATTCAACATTGAAAACTGACTGACATGCATAAGAAAGCCTTAAAAATCTTTGTGATGGAAACAATGTCTTCATGTCCATTAAAATTCTTCTTTTCACTTACCTCAACGTTTGATTGGTCAGTAAGATGTTAATGAAAATCAAGGGCGGGTAATTTGTAATCGCGAGAACTGTGAGAATGCACCAGGGGTTAGTGTAGGTACACCGAAATGCAAGCCCTGGAGATAGAGAGGATGCAGCTTTGTCAGAAATGAGTGTACATGGTGATGCAGGATACACTCTATTGTCTTACAAACATATGGTCTGTCATTAACAATAAGACTTTCTTGCTGCAGGGGCTTTCAGTCACCCTGATGACCAATGCGTTGGGGCCAACCCTGATGACCAAGTATTTCAGCCCCCTCCTGGCTAAGGGGTCGGGGGTGTTCGGGCTGCAAGCAGCGGAACCTAAAGCCAGACATTCTGCTGTCCTGGTCAACATGTCGGCCAAGGTCGGCTCCATTACAGATAATGGTGGGTAATAACACCTTTCTTTACGGATTTTAACTTGAAAATGATCAGTTTGATGTCTTAAAGAAGTAGAGGCTATTTATTTGATATATATAGAGAATCTCACCTGAGTGTCTTTTGATATCAAATATATCAACACTCATTGATAAAAGTGGAAAAATTCCGAGGCTTGCCGAGGATTTTTGTCCGTTTTATCAACGAGTGTTGATATATTTGATATCAAAAGACACGAGCGTGAGATTTTATTTATCATCCAACATCATTCTTCCAACTTTTTCAATTTGTAGACAGTAATTAGCAGTGACTTCAGTGTAAAAAGTACTGCTAACAGCTTCAGTAGCAGAGCCATTAGTGATGTCATTTGATTGTGACGTCATGGTAACCGGTGACGTCACAATGGTCTGCAAAGCATTGTGATGTAATTTCATTGCAGCGATATCTACAGTGTAGATATCACTTGATCTAATCCAAGCAATATCTCCTGTGGGAGCCAGTTTTGGATGATATATATATATATATATATATATATTCAGATATTTGTTTTGTTTGTTGTTTAACACCACAATCAGCAATATTCCAGCAATATGACATTGGTTTGTATATAGACCAGACAATCCAGTGATTGTGATCATGTGTATCAATGAACACAATTCTTACGACAAGCATGGGTTGCTGAAAACCAATTCTAACCTGGGTCTTCACGGGGGATCAGATATTTGAACACTGGTTAGTGCATGTGCACTTCTGGATCATTTGTAGAGCTATTTTGTGTTCAACAAGTCCCAAAACATATTCTATGTATGTGATGAGGAACTTCCGAGATAGCATTGTTAAGATCCTTTATTGAGTTGTCTTACTCTGGAGTGGGGCCATGTTTACTAAGGGACACATGCATGGGGAGGGAGGGTAGTGGTTCAAGTGTTGGCTCGTCACGCCGAAGACCCAGTCAATATCCAACATGGACCACCTTTCTCCCGAGAATGAGAATATTGCTACAAATGATGTGGACACTCACTCACTCACTCACTCACTCACTCACTCACTCACTCAAACGCCCACCAACTCACTCACTCACTCAAACGCCCACCAACTCACTCTCTCACTCAAACACCCACCAACTCACTCACTCACTCACTCACAAATAATACAGAATGCTTATGTCACATATCCCCCGAACACTTTGCCCGTTTCTCCCGTCTACAATGAGGTTTGTAACCAGGGTGGAGAACTCAGGACAGAAATTCACTTCTCTTTGTTCAGTAAGCCTACTTGTCTATAACTATATGGGGACAATATTGCAGCTTGTGTTCTGCATTTTGTTTTTATTTGTGGTGTTGAGCATGTTAAACTTTTGTCATGCTGGTGCCTCTATTTTTACAAATTTGTAAACTTTTCGACAAATTGTATATGTTAATGTTTGAATATGAAAAAATAATAAAAGACCACTTTCTACAGGCTAAAATTGCAGTGAGATGTCACATGTGTATTTTGTTTACCAATTTTTAAATATTTCATTTTACATTTTTTTGGAATGTTTTACTTGTCCATGAACTCCACAAATGCAAAATTTACTTGACAGGCTTACAAAGTCAGACAATTTCAGCAACCCTCACAAACATGATTCAGAATGATTTTCTGAATAAGTAGTGTGCTTGTACTTACGAGGGGCATTCAATAAGTTTTGCAACTTCAATATAAGACCAAGTCGCAGAATATCTTTTGTACTTTTATTTTTCAATATAATCTCCCTTCACCTCAATGCACTTATTCCATTTGTCCTTCAAGCTTTTGATATCACTTTTATAGAAATCCGCAGATTGGCCCTCTAACCACGCCTCTGTGGCAGCCTGTATGTCCTCGTCATCCTGGAAGCATCTTCCACGTAGGGCAGATTTCATTTGCTGGAACAGGAAATAGTCACTGGGGGCTAAGTCTGGGCTGTAGGGTGGGTGATTTAACTGTGCAGCCCAGACTAACCAGACTTGGTTAGAGGGCCAATCTGCGGATTTCTATAAAAGTGGCTTTAAAAGTTTGAAGGACAATTGGAATAAGTGTATTGAGATGAATGGAGATTATATTGAAATAAAAAAGTGCAAAAGATATTCTGCGACTTGGTCTAATATTGAAGTTGCAAAACTTATTGAACGCCCCTCGTACCTGCTCACTTAACATGTCTAAGTTGACGAGTATTGTTTCCATCTTCAGGTCTCGGAGGCTGGTACAGCTACCGAATGTCTAAAGCTGCCCTCAACATGGCTACGAAGAACCTCAGCATTGAACTTGGCAGAGGTCGCAACAAGGTGATCTGTGTAGCGCTGCACCCGGGGACAGTGGACACAGACTTGTCCCGCCCCTACCACAAGGGTGTGCCAAACTTGTTCACCGTAGAGCACTCTGTGAACTATCTGATGGATGTTATAAATAGTCTCACACTGAAGGACTCTGGGAAATACCTCACTTATGACCGTACAGAGTTGCCATTTTGATGGAGAATACCATAAATCCTGAGGCAAGGGAGTTAACTGAGTATAAAAGTCCAGTTTCCACCCTTGCCAAACTAGGCTGGAATTTCTAGGCTTGATCGTAGCGCCACCAGTGGCTATTACGAGTTATGTCCCTACTATGTCCCTCTTATTGACCAATCAGATTCCACCTCTCATATCACTTGCATTTGTTTCAAACAAAATGGCAGCACCTAGATCGATAATCAAGATCTATGTTGAAATAAAACAGGTCTTACCTGAGGATGTGCATCAAATGACCTGAACACCTTGATTAAAAACATGAAAAGATTTGGAAAATATCTGTCAACGCCCAGTTGGCGGAACACATGCTTTGCAAATCCTTCAGTCGAATGAAATCTGCATGTTGAAATCCATGTTGTTTTTCAAACTGGATGTCTAATTCGTTTCGCAATTTTGATTGGACTATACATTGACATGTTAGTCCAGCCCAACTACAACTCCAGCGAAATTCCAGCCTAGTTCGGTAAGGATGGAAACTGGACTTTTATAGTTGGTTAACTCCCTTGCCTTGGGAAGTCGGGAGAACACAGACAGAATGTAGTGTGTTGATGTGAATGTGACTACATGGGAGATATACCCAGAATGATGTGATTGGGATAGCATAGAAACATCATTGTGTTCCAGAGACAATACTGTGTCCAGGCATGCTACCTCATCTATATAGTCATATTTAGGGCTGTGTAGCGGCAAAACCTTTGTATTGCAGTATATTGCGATACAGCTTTCTATCTAGATTGCGAAATATTGTGAGCTAAAGTATTTGACACTGATGACATTAATTGAACATGCAGAACCTATTTTGTACATACTAAGGTAAATATTACTCAGCATGGTCAGTTAACCGTGAAGATCCAGGTTAGAACTGGTCTTCAGCAACCCATGCTTGCCATAAAAGGCCACTACGTTTGTCGTAAGAGGCAACTAACAGGATCGGGTGGTCAGGCTCGCTGACTTGGTTTGATGCATGTCATCGTATCCCAAATGCGTGGATCGATGCTCATGATATCAATCACTGGATTGTCTGGTCCAGACTCTATTATTTACAGACTGCTGTCATATAGCTGGAATATTACTGAGTGCGGCGTGAAACAACAAACGAGCAAAACCACAGCATGGTCAGTGGCTGCCATCTTGTAGTCATGGATACAGAGGAAAATTAATAAACTATTTGTTGTGTTGAAAAATCTAACATGTTGATGTTATTAATTCAATATGAAACCAGAATGCGCAAAATTTAGCTTGATCCCAGATTATTTGTTCAAAAACACAGGCTGAAGCATTTGTGGTGTTATGCCTAAGGTTTTGTTACTGATTTCTGGAGTGCTGTAATAGATCAACACAAACATGCTTTTCACTGCAATATTATGTTGATCGTTCACAATATTTGTTCCACCATGAGATATTTAACAAATAATGTCATAAACAAGTGGTTGAAAAGGCCAACTGTGCCAGGTGTCACTTTGAACACTATTTTTAGTTATGTACCGAGCCACAAAGAAACATCACTTCATGAAAATGCTTCATAAAAGTTTCCCATTGAAATATCAATGCGTATTTTGGAGGTATTTCGTTTTTGACATAATACTGTAGTGCTACAAAGTGCTACAAATAAGAATATAATGGTTCGCCAAAACACAGCTTAACAAACGCCCTTGGTACAAAGTCCTGAATGTTTTCCATGAAAGTCAAAATTCCTTGTGCCTTTTCCGATAAACGGCACCTAATACGTGGATCCAACATTTTTGTATCGATGCTAGTGCCATTCCAAGTTGTACGAAGAATCAGAAACCAGGCTTTTGGAAGACTGCAATCTGTCTGTTACCTGGTATCGCTGCTGTAATCTGTAGATGGTTCTCACATGGACATTGAAAACATTGGCAACTATTCATGCAGTCATCCCAGAGCCTGGTTTCTCTGATCCTTGGCGTCCATGGTGTGTTTAAAAGAACTTACGGCCCTGTTAACAGGGACTGATCATTCATGAAAGACTGGCTGGATCAAAGGGCCCACTGCATGATCATGATGATGTCACAAGATTCCAGTCTGTTTTGGTATCACAGTAGCAGCCGAACCACACCCAAAAGAAGTTGAAGAACACACGATTCTTTCATATTACTATCTTTAATCATGGCATGGCAATTAACTACAGTAATCTGACAGAATCGTGTCTTCTTGTCTTCTTTATTAGTGTGAGTGAGTTTGGTTTTGGTTTTACGCCGCTTTTAGCAATATTCTAGCAATGTCACGGTGGGGGACACCAGAAATGGGCTTCACACATTGTACCGGTGTCGGGAATCGAACTCGGGTCTTCAGTGTGACAAGTGAACGCTGTTACCATTAGGCCACCCGACTGCCCTTATTGAGTAGTACTGGGTATATAACATGCAGAGCAAACTAATAAAGCACAATACACATTTCAACAGAAAAACGTTTATTCATGAAAATATTTTTAGAAAATATTAACATTTTAAAACAATGATAGAAACAGCAGCAAATGTCTGTCATACCTCTCTCCAGTTCATGACACCTATCTGGAACACATAGTTAGTGTAACAGAAAAAAAATAGAATTTCTTTTTTTTGTGTAAATCAATTGTGGCAGAGATTGACCTATGAGACTGCCATACCTATAGTTTGACATGATTGTCAGGTTTCGATATTCAAGGAAGTAATATTGACTAACATCAGGTGTTGAACACTGCAGTACGAACACAGACATCTCCAGATATACATTAATGATTCCATGCTTGGCAATGTGAAAGTTACTCAACAAAAATTACATAAACATGCATTTAACATAAATACCAATAAATAACTGGCTTCAGGCTGTAATAAAATATAGTAAAATTGTAAGGGGTCTTGTAGTACTGAAAAGAATCTATTATCACTTGAATATTGAAAAATATTTTTTAGCTTACTAGACACTATCAAGGTGTGCTGATGTCATGGCTTTAAATAATGGTGCCTAACTTCTGGTTAACTGCATACAGTGATGTTTCTATGTAGACACTTACACCGTTATCAAGCTGGAGTGACCAAGTGTTAACTACTTGTTATCTATTACTGTTGTTGTCAGTGTTAATCTGCTCATCACAACATGTCATGCATATATACCTCTTATCACTTGGTTGTTGTCACTCCAGCTTGATAACGGTGTAAGAATCTACATCGAAATGTTGCTGTTTGCAATATACCAGAAGTTATTATCCATAAAGTTGTACAGTTTCTTATGTTTTGGAATGTGGACATATTTTCCGATTAGTCATTAGCAACGTTGATGGTACAAACATGGTTAATATAGCTGACAAATGAACATAGAAATTAGATATTTTTTATCTGAGTTCAGGAAATGTCTTGATAATGCTACACAGAGCAGGACAAATGTATATTATGTCTCTTTTTTTACTTTTACAGGTCATTAACAAAATATAATGACAATGAATTAGAAAAGATCTAATAAAGGTGAGCTTCTGTACCTGTGGTATCTTTACTCAATAGTCCAATACTACAATCAGAAACAGCTGTCTACCAGCTCAATATGGTTCTAATCGTAAAATGTCTCAACTATGATGAACTTCATTGGTATCTCCATTTTCTTCACTTGCGGCCCAGTTTTCATATTTCCCTATTGTCTTCAAAATGAATGTACATTCATGTATCATAAGCATAACGACTATAAAAGTGTAAAAAAACATTGTAGCACAAAGAACATATGAGTAATTTCACGGCAAGTATCAGCTTGATTGATGTCACGTAACAGATGATGCAACTCGTTCAAACACCATTCTTTTGTGTCTAGTAGGCCAAATGACGACCCCAATGTCAAACATACAAGGTCACAAATTCACTGAAGGAACTAATGGAACATCTAGATTTAGACTAGACATTGGTCAAGGTGGAGAGACATACCAGGTAGTCCCTCTTTAAAAGACGTATAGAGATGCAATCTGATAAATAAAAGAGTAATTTGATTGAATGATTTTGTGCTGCAGGACTAAGCAAATAATGCATTCAGGTTAGTCTGCCAGTCTATAGTTATTACCGTATTTGACGTAATAAGCGCCCACGGCGATATTTGCTAATATATTGGCAAGTGAACAATCCCAATTAGCATCCCTTCCGATTGAGTGAGTGAGTGAGTTTGGTTTTACGCTGCTTTTAGCAATATTACAGCAATATCATGGCGGGGGACACCAGAAATGGGCTTCACACATTGTACCCATGTCGGGAATCGAACCCGGGTCTTCGGCGTGACGAGCGAACGCTTTAACCACTAGGCTACCCGACCGCCCCCCCTTCCGATTGAACAATGTATACAAGACTTAAATTTATTTGTGTATAATATGCACTCGTGTGTTATAATCACACTTACTTATGGGCAAATTCTGGAAAATTATACCTGTCATATATAAACATTTCAGACAGTCAGCATTAACCACAAAATTAACAGTCTTTGAACTCTCATTTTGTGAGCGCCCTTTGGTGCTTATTAGGTAGAATACTTTGCTTGATGACAATTTACACAACCAAACATGATCAACTGTATGTGCAGCCTAAAAGAACAAACGTTTGTACAAAGGATTTGAAGTACAATTAATGAAAAACGATCAGTTAATGAAGCCATTCTGTAACTGTGAAAAGATGGCCAGGATGAGATTCTTAAGAGACAAACATACCCTTCATCCTACACAAACAAACAAATCTGATCTCGTGAGACAAATGATCAAATAATTATATGAATAAAAAACTTAACATTGTTTGGTCCCCAGCATCAGTGCAGTGCAAATAACATGAAAATGCGTGCAAACAAGATAACCTGTTAATTTGGATGTTATTGTTTCCAAAAACAACTGTAACAGACGTAGTTAGTTCACGGTGCTTACATCATGAAGAGTGAGTGACTATGGTTAAAAGCTGCTTTGAACAGCATTTCAGTTTTATGTGAGAGAAAAGTTCGAAGCGATACATGTCTTGGACATTTACCATTTTGGTGGAACCAACGAGCATGGATTCTCAGCTGGCGCCAAAGAAGATGCTTGGTGGGATGTGGCTTAGAATAGATGCTTCGTCAGTGTTGCTTGGTCAGTGTTGCCTCGTCAATGTACGCGACACTGTACTTCAGGTGGACAGGTAAACAAATGTTTTCATTCTCATCCTACAACGTGTACCGTACGCCTATTTCAATACTGATAGGTCAAATATGATTGAAAATATAAATATAATGTCTAACAGGAAGACTGTTTTGCAATTACAAGTTCCAAAGGATTTTTAACTATACTACCCATTTGATAAGAACCACCCCTTTGACTGAAGATGACTTATGATCCTTAGCAAATGTTGAGTAGTTTACACCAGACATGATCAGCTTTGAAGCAAGGTGAAGAGTGTGGGCGTGGGGTTGTATAGTGGGGACAGTTCCAGGAAGGGTTGCTAATTACGTCTATTACAGTGTGAAAAATATTGGTCAAAACGAGTACATAAAAAAACAAGAATATATCGTCTTCTCATTTCAACTTACAACTGCTAACAAATCAGGTATTACCAGATAACAATGAAATGGTCTCAAAGATACAATTGTTCATGTGACACCAATATAAACATCTGTATCACAATGTCGTTAGGGACCGACCATTTCATATTTGGGGCTTTTTATCGAAACAAATATGATGCTTCCCAGAAAATGCTTGAAAATGAACTATGCTTCAAACTTTTGAAAAAAGAAATTGTCAGCCACAAAAAATACACTGTTGCCCCCCTTAAATATTTATTTAGGCTCATAGTCCTTATTAAAAAAGACCGCCTCCGTGGTCTAGTGGTAGAGCATCCGCCCGGAGAGCGGAAGGTCCAGGGTTCGATCCCTGGCCTGTCATACCAAAAGACATTTAAAGATGGTACTTGTTGTAACCCTGTCTGGCGCTCGGCATTACGGGGGTAAAACAAGGACTGGTCGGCTCAGAGTCTGTATACTGTGTCTGAGTGGGGTATTGATGTTAAACTGCATCATGGTATCTCAGTGAGCTAGCACTATAAATCGGCATCAGTCCGGACTAGTACAAGCAGCCACACACACACGTACATGCACATCGATATGTAAGTGCAATAATCTTGGACGCGACGTTAAACCCCATTACACCTCACCTCTTTTGTAGAAAATAGCTAGTTTTGCAGCTGTAGGTGATCCAGATCCAGATCCCTTCCCCCATCCCCCTGCTGAATATCAAAAGGTCGGTCACTTAATCCTTATGAGGCTGTTCACTTGTACAATTCACACAAAAATCAGGTGGTGTGTCTTCATGCAGATAGTTGATATGGATCACAGCGAGGTGGTTTGTGTTTTCTACACAGTGTATGTAGTTTCATCTCATGCAGCAGACATACATTGTGAATATAGTTATACATTTGGACTTGTTGAAATTAGACTAGGGTGAAAACTTGAAATGGAATTTATACAACTTAATATATATGAAATATAAATACAATTAAATTTCCTCATATACACCATCCAATATAAGTACATATACATACTATTAAAATGTAATACATCCAATATATCCCACACAACCTTGCAACATCGAACAATTACATGCTCCTCTAATCTATAAACTTGTATTCCACCTTAACGGTCTAGCTACAAGGTCATGTGACAGGCACCTGGTAATATTGTCAGAACATGAATAGGTTCGACTCAAAAGTAAAAGAAACATCGACATTATTAATCATAATGGTTAACAGATTAAGTGTGAAACTGTTCTCAATTGAAACGCCATGATGTCTCCCTTGCCGATGTTCATGATGATGTCACAAGTGATGTCATTAATGATATTACAACAAAAGGCTGATGGCAATGAACACTTCATATACCGTAAATCCTTGAATAGATGCAGGGTCAAAATCAAGAGACAAGAAAATGGACTGTGAAGCCTTTATGTCGAAACATGGATGATCCTTTAGGAACTCAAAGCCATATTGAAACGAACGCCATTATCCTAAAAAATGCAAACCAGACATGTTTTATTCAAATTACACGTCCCCTCTTCGTGGAAATTAGAAGTGTTTACCTTATTTAAGAAATACATGCTGGGTGTAAGACGTCTCTGAAACACATAGAGTGAGTGAGTGAGTGAGTGAGTATGATTTTACGCCGCTTTTAGCAATATTCCAGCAATATCACGGCGGGGGCCACCAGAAATGGGCTTCACACATTGTACCCATGTCGGGAATCGAACCCGGGTCTTCGGCTTGACGAGCGAACGCTTTAACCACTAGGCTACCCGATCGCCCCGAAACACATAGACGTTTGAGCATCTATTCAAGGCTATACAGTGTTTCTTAAATGATGACTTGTTAGCTACACCACTCGGACCAGACTTCCAGATGGAGGGATGCTACGGCCATGTAACATTCTGTATGGGTCAACATAAACAACAACACGTCTAGACAACAAACATGATCTAGTCCCACGATACACACCATAGGGTACACACAATACACTAAACAGTCCTGGTACTGAACATGACTATCGACACCAGCTCAGTTCATGAAAATATTGTGTCATAGGCTTAAAAATATAAAAGAATTAGTTCTCAGGCAATGCTTTTGAAAATGTAGTGCGGGCGACTGGTGTTTTTTTTTTTGGTTGTTCAAGCTAGTATGTCACCAAATTTTGTTTACAATAATTTCGGCAAAATCATTGTGTTCTTAAGTATTGTTGCATTTCATTGCCGGGGTCGTGTGTTCGAGACGCAGAATATTTATAGATTTTAATTTTTTTTTGAAAATGGAACTTAAAACGAAACGTGCGGCAGACTTTATGATGATGCAGTTGGTGTCTGAGAACCAAGACTTATTTTTTTTAGCCATGAGGTCATCTTGACCTGTTTAAGTAAACTGCCTGTTGATCATGGTTAATGTTACATCCCTTACTAAGATGCAAGATGGTGATGGTGAGAGGAATGAAGAAAACTGGGGTCAAATTGAGCCAAAGGTAAAAATGCACATTTCCGATCTCTCAGGTCAACAAATATGTTTACATTCTTTTACTTTAAGTATTTGTATACTCAGTGACCAGTAGTTGTTCTTGTGATAAACATAACTATGTATGAAGCAACGTGTCAGTGGACTGGGAACAGTAAAGGCTGAATATTTTGTCAACTGAGTTTAACAAGGCTTAAACAAAATATAATTGGTTCTCAGGCAATGGATTTTGAAAATATAGAGCGGGGGGGGGGGGGGGGGGGGGGGGGGGTGGTTTTGTTGTTGTTGCTGTTGATATTGTTCAAACTAGTATGTAACCAACAAAACAGTTGTGTAACCAAATAAACGGTTGTGTACAATCAGCCTGGGAAAGGGCCTCCCTACATAAATTTATTCCTTGATGCGTAAAAAAGTTTTTGACAACCCTTTGATTTTTTTTTTTAAATGGAAAAAAACACAAAAGGTGCGGCAAACTTTATGATTATGGGGGCAGTGCCTGAGAACCAAGAGTATTATTTTTTTAGCCCAATATACACATTAATCCAACAATACATAATAATGAACAACATATGTGAGTTCAGTAGACAGTATATACATCAGTCTCACTGAACACCTCGTCTTTAACAATTCAATGCGTATCGGTGTAGAGCTACATTTGACAAAATGTATCCTCTACAAGCATTATATATGGCATGAAAAATAACTCAGATGTTATAAACAAAACTGGGTTAGTTTGGACACTGTCAATCTGGACCTTGTTGATTCTTGTTGAGATTAACCATACATTCACAACCCTTACATTCCACATCATTGTTAATCCGGAAAATTTCACTGAAAACTATAGTCCAGATGAACAGGGTTGAACTGAATATTATTGTCCGAAGACATGTTGGCTAATTAGGTTTTGTTTGTGTCTTCAGCCATTCTCTTGGTGGAATATGGCTTTGTAAGAGTCACGATCTCATGTATTGTATTGAAGCCTGATGAAGTGAATCATTACCGCCCGACACTTCACATGTGAATATAATGCTAGCATGTGAATATATTGCCAGCAATGAGTGGGTGAGTATGTTTTTACTCTGCTTTTAGCAATATTCCAGCAATATCAAGGCGGGGGACACCAGAAATGGGTTTCACTCATCGTACCCATAAGGGGAATCGAACCCAGGTCTCCGGTGTGACGAGGAAAAGCTTTAACCACCAGGCGGCCAGTCTTACATTCAACAGTACAACCAAACTACATATATACAACACTGGCAACCCCATCCACCACCACTACTACAGGCAATACATGCTACATCGTTATCCAGTTGTTCTAATTTCTGTTGCCATGCTAACAAAATATGCATTATTAAATAGATGAACACGTAGCTGATTTCAAGTTGAATGAATAAATATATTACCTCCATAACTACTTATTGTGAATTCCATGCAGTTACAACAATATTACTCACGGCTCAGCAAATTATTTTCCTTGATCTACAGATCAATCTTCCCAAATTTATAACATCCATACTATACTCTATTCTTTGGAAATAGATGGTTGTAAACTTGAAGTTCTAATTAAGTCATTATTTCTTCACATAGGATCATAAACCATAATATTCAGAAAAGAAATGAACAAAAAACAATATTTAGACCAATAACAAACAAAGTTAGCTTTTAGGAAAATAGTTTAAAAACATATAATCTAAACCAATTTTTTTTACCATTTTTTTACACATGATCCAACCCATCGTAACATTATAATTACACTGAGGTTTTTTTGCCAAAGAAAACTAATTTGATTCTCGTTTCTGCCAGTAATAATATTCAGACAAATGTAAACATTGGTAAAAGTAGTAAAAACCATAATATTAAAAAAGCTGCTGATTATTTGTTACAAATATCGTGAAAGAAAATTATTATTATCGAAATCCCAAAATAATATTATAAAGCATGTTGTCGATTACAATGACTAAGGTGGAAAAACTCTAATACAGATTCACGCTACTTCTAGTATCTTGTGTGTAACCGATCATATTTCCGAGTTTTCATCCATATCCAGGGCAGGTAACAAAACAAATGTCAATGGCATGGCTGCCATACTCAGAAAATAATTACATCCATTTTCCTCAATAAACAACCCGAAAAATATAAGCTATTTTGAGGAGCCCAAGAAAGGCGAGTTCCTGGATAGCCTTGACCCTGACTATAGTGTCTACAAATCCTCTTCCGCCACCAACTGTACAGTCTATGGAATGTAGCGACATGGTGTTGACGATTATGATAATGATGATGATGATGATTGTCACAACCAGCCAATCAGCTCAGTTTGCCAAGCTCGGCCTTTCGGAATATTTCATAAGCAGTAAAGACAAATGAGTCTATGATTCCAGCAACTGTGAATGTTCCTCCTACAATGGCACATACCTGAAACAGAAAAAAATATATCAAGGAATCAATTTTTATTTTTGTTGTGCTTTACGATGTAGCTGGAATATTGCTGAGTGCAATCAGTTAGACCGAGGCATCCAGGTATTGTTTGAGGCCATTAGTTTACTCAAAAGTTATAATTCAAATGTCTTATCGATAGCTTTCTCTATTTATTCAATATATTTTCACAGCCTTGAGTCCAGTCTATTGAGTATTTTTACACCAATAAGAAAACATTTTTCTGAATAATTCAGCTTAAAATGTTGATTCAGGTGACTAATTTGTGTGTGTTCACTGTTCATGTGCTGCACCAAGTGTGTAACAGGATGTATAAAGTCACAAGGGTATCTAATACAAACAAACTAAGTATGACATAGAAGTTCCAAATAATTGCGTCAATAAATGCACTCCAGAAATACATGTCTAATTAACGCCAATCGAGACAGGGCCTTTTTTTATTCATTATTCACTGAAGTAGAGTTTATGTTTGTGATTTCTGCATTCAATCTAAGAGTGAGTGAGTGAGTTGGGTTTAACGCCGCTTTTAACAGTATTCCAGTTATATTGCGGCGAGTCAGCTTAATATGGGAGGAAAGCCCGAAGTGATGCAGGTCTCAGATGTTTACCACTTCGGTGAAACCCATGAGCACGGGTATGGTGCTGAGAAACCTGGAAACATAATCGGGGCGAACCAGGATTCGAACCCACAATCATAGGTTTCTGGCATGCCCAAGGGACGCAACTCTGCACAGCGAATCGCAGCGCCTTAGTCGACTGGGCCACTCGTGCCCCCCTTCAATCTAATATAAAGATCGGCAAAGAAATACATGCCGCAAGTTGACAGGATACAATGTGTAATTACAACAAATGTTGTCATACTATAGAGGTATTGAAATATTTCATGCATATTTGTATGCAAGCAACTCAAAACTATGATGATGATTTATTATGCATATTTTATGCAAATACTCAGCTTTTCGGGAGCTATGAAGATTACTATGATTAAACAGAGTCCTAAACATTCTCGTGCCATTCTACAGCCATGGTCTACACCTTATAACAAGTGGCACGTATAAAATGAGACTTTGCCTCTGCATAATCTGGGTCATCTTTAACTTCTAAATAATTAACCAATAAAATGTTGAGTTAGCAGTTAGTAAAGTGTTTTTTGAGGACTTGACCGGGCCTCCTCCCCCTATACAGAACTAAGTGAGTGAGTGAGTGAGTGAGTGAGTTGGGTTAAACGCCGCTTTTAACAGTATTCCAATTATATCGCGGCGTGTCAGCTTAATGTGGGAGGAAAGCCCGAAGTGATGCAGGTCTCAGACGTTTACCACTTCGGTGAAACCCACGAGCACGGGTATGGTGCTGACAAACCTAGAAACATAATCGGGGCGAACCGGGATTCGAACCCACAATCAGAGGTTTCTGGCGTGCCCAAGGTACGCAACTCTGCACAGCGAATCGTGGCGCCTTAGACGACTGGGCCACCCATGCCCCCCTACAGAACTAAGAGACCTCCAACTCACTGTTGTCAGGAAGGTGTAGAAAGGCTTGCTCTTCTCCTTGTATCGGACGGTGATGGGGCTGAGGTCATATCGGAACCAGATGGCCGGCACCGCGGCGCCACCGTGATGATACTGTACTATATCCTGTGGGTATAACAACACCAGTTAGTATCAGCTCAGGGGAGGCTACAATTCCTAAATAGCAAAAGGCAACAATTCAGCATGTGCCTGATAGATGTGACAAATTTCATCTGGAATCAAACCCTATCCTTATTTTTTTCTAAGTCCAACTTGCTGCCATGGAAACATAAAAAATAAATTTCTAAAATTCCTAAATAGCAAAAGGCACCAGTTCATCATGAGTCTGATAGACAGGCAAAGTTTCGTAGAGAAATATTTAACGGTTTCCAACATGTCCAAGTTATGATCCGGAAACAATTGCAGGACGCATGCACACACGCACGCACACACGCACTTACGGACCGACGGAACCCATTTCTATATCCCCCGCCAATCCCTTGGGGCGGGGGATAAATATTCACTTGCTGAACATTGGAACCATACAGCACTCATTGCTTGGCTAAGTATTTGATTGTCTGCTTAGAAGCATATCCGGCTGCACCTACCCTATAGGAATGTGTATATTGGTAAGGGTATCTGGCAGCCCCTTGTATATCTTCATAGACAGTGGGCACCACTCGCAGGATGTAGTCGTGGGTTGATAAGGCTGGAAACAGAAACAATGTTGGTATTAGATACAACAAAACCCCACTAGTCTGGACCCTGTTAATCTGGCGACACTACCTTCCAGACGATTACTACTGGGAACCCATACACGTTTACAGAGTACCACTATTCAGTAACAATAATTCGTCTGTTACCATGGTTAATCTGTTATCTTATTAATCTGGATGAATTAGATTGCCACCATCAAGCTTTACAGGATTTCGTTACAGGTGTTCTGAAGCCATTACCACAGTAATGGACACTCCTTGTATGCAGTTCTCATAAAACTGAATTTGAATATTGTTAGAATTACATTTTTCAGTCTTTTTATCATGTGTATAAGGACAGGAAAATTAATTTCTTCTTTTACTGATCCATCGGTCAACCCACACCCCAATCCCCGCCAAATCTGTCTGGTAACGTCCAATCTCATTAAAATCAGATCTAAGTTCTCACTGTCGCTAAACAAAGATCTGAGGACACCCCAAGAACAACGACCTTTCGCGAACTTTGACCGACCACTGTAACGAATAACAAGAAGTCGATATCAGCCAGTGAGAAAGCAGCTTTCTCGAGCTTTACGGCACACGTTTCAACCTGGCGACGTCCATTTCAGACTACGCTTGAAAAATATGTTGACACAGTTAAAAATTTGAAAACTGAACAAACGAACATTCCGGAATGTCTAATATATGGTTGCTATTGTATGGCAGTGCTTCCTATGTACTGTGCAACGCCTCCTTCGTTCAAATGTTTATCCCACGGAAGCAAGAGATACTTTGATGGAATCAGTCGTACGAGCCGTAACTGTCGTTCGGAATACCCTGTTTTAATGTTTCCGAGGTTGCATAATCAGAAAACACATCCTGACTGTCACTTTCATGATCTGGTAAGCGACACTTTGATAGGTCGGATGAAAGGTCGTTCTGACGTGACCCTTAATGTGATGTCCTTAGATCTTTACTTAGCAAGAACTAAGATTTGATTTTAATGAGATTGTGACGTCCATCTGAGCCCTCTTTCTCTCTACTTTTCTCTCTCATGCTTGCTGCAGCCAAGATTTCAACTGAAGTAAAGGATAGTATATTTTACCCAAAGAAAAGGAACCAGGTACTTACGATTAGACTTTGACTTGTCCACATTCTCCAAGGAGTTGAAGGAGCCCTTTACTGTCTGAAATTGAGATGAAGAATGTCATGGAAACTGGATAGTTTAGCATTTAGCATGTTTAGCAGTAGATTTTAGATCTTTTATCAAAGGAGGGTCATGTTACCATGGTTACATGCATTAATTGCCAGATCAAGTCATACAAAATATACAGCTTCTAGAGACACTTAAGTAAGGGAGGTAATAACGTAATCTGCGTAAACAATGTTGCGATGTTTGATCAAATGTGTTCAGGTGTTTTGGAACACATACTCTCACATTGTTTTACAGCCTTGATACAACATTCTATCATGATTGGTGGCAAGATCAAAGGCATCTCGCATTATTTATTAGACTACAAATAGTGCTGTATGTTGTAACGTGAACCATCCGTTTGGCAGGGGAGGTATCACAATGGTACACACGTCAAGGTGATCCTTCTGTTCACACTCTCTGTTGATGACCCCGTGCGGTTTCCTGGCTACAACTGGTACCTAGGAACTCTGGTCAACTTGGAGGCAACTTAACGGATTGGATGGTCAGGCTTGACGACTTGGTTGATAGCATGTCATCACTCTGGCAGCAGAGCTATCACAACACCTGGGTCTCACGCCAAGCCAGTGTAGATACATTTGGAATAAATAATGTCCGTCACTGACCACAGAAATCCTCCAAGTTAGTTATATTCTACAAGGCCAGTGCTATTGACCTTGTGTCCACGCATCAGTAGATAATTGCTGCCATGGATCTGCCAACAACGGTTCAATCTTCCAAGCGATTCGGCCAATTTTCAAGAGGTACTACATTCCTTTTTCAGGACTACATTGTGCTACCTACTAGGGCTGGGATGGGAAACTTGGGTACCCGGGTCGGGTGGGTACTGAGTAGGGCCTGGGTACCCAAGGGACTACCCCGACCCCTGGTTAGTCACATGATATATTGTTGCATTGACAAAAATTCACTATAATTTTAACAATATGGTTACACGACAATTTTAAGTCTCTAATGTTTGCATGTTCCTTCTGACTTAAATATGTTTGAACAAAGCTGAAACTTCATTCAACGTCAGTGTATGCATGACCACATCGTTGTATATGTGTATCTAAAACCATTCTGCCAGGGCTACTGTCAAACTATTCCCAATCAGACATTTTATACCTATCTCTTGACACCAACAGTGGCTAAATTTGGACTTGCCCCAGCCCTATTACCTACTGCAAGAAATTCAGGAAGTCCCATAAACTTTTACTTCCATCCCAATATTGTCAGTAGTGTGTGACAGCAACTCGACAATAGAGGCTTGGGCTGGGGCGGGTTACTTGGGTACTCAGGTCGGGTGGGTCCTGAGTTGGACCTGGGTACCGACAGGTCTACCCGACCCAGTGTAGGTCACATGATATATAATGTTTAATAACAATAATAAAACTCAATGGTCACACAACAAGTCGCTAATGTCTGCATTGCTTTCTGACAATACATGCATTCCCTCTGATTTAAATATGTCGGAGTAAAGATAAACCTTCAGACAACTTCAGTGTATGCATGATCAGATCATTTCATATGTGTATCTAAATAGCTTTTGCCAGGGCTCCAGTAAAACAATTCCACGTAATGGACATTTGTACCCAATTTGAGACTTACAGCAGGTACCTGTGAAGGGTCGGGTAATAGGGAGTTGGCTACCTGGGTGGTAAATGTGGACTCATCCTAGCACTAACAGTGAGTGAGTGAGTGAGTTTGGTTTAACGCCGCTTTTAACAGTATTCCAGTTATATTGTGGTGTGGTAGCTTAATGTGGGAGGAAAGCCCGAAGTGATGCAGGTGTCAGACGTTTACCACTTCGGTGAAACCCACGAGCACGGGTATGGTGCTGACAAACCTAGAAACATAATTGGGGCGAACCGGGATTCGAACCCACAATCATAGGTTTCTGGCGTGCCCAAGGGACGCAACTCTGCACGGCGAATCGCAGCGCCTTAGACGACTGGGCGACCGGTGCCCCCCCCTAGCCCTAACAGAAGCTTATACTATATTTCTTAGACTTACACCAAGACATTAACTGGGTACTTGATTACAACAAATGTCATATTTGGGATAACACTTTCTAAGTAAAGTACAGATTCTCGTACTTTTTGAGGTTGAGTCCCGTCCGGGCTTCGAACCCACACTTGCCAGAGTGAGGCACCTAATCGCCAGCACACAAAGTCAGCGATCTAACCCACTCAGCCACCGAGGCTTCCTTGGAACTCAACCCAAAAAAGTATGAGAATCTGTACTTTACTAAGAAAGTGTTATCCCAAATATGACATTTGTTACATTTGACCACTTTCTAAATGGCATTGTGTGTTCATACTTGATTACAGTTGAGAAATACCACATATAACCATCTACAACAATTCTGCTGATGTATTAAAAATCAAGCTGTTTCACACACTGTAAGCATGGTAAGAACACACACACTGACATCACAATACTGCGGCATTAAATATATAGCGATTATATGATACTGACTCCGAGCCGACGAGTCCTAGATTCATGCCATTAACGCCAAGTGCCAAACAGGGTAACAACAAGTACTGACGCGTCCGGGATTGGACCACCGACCGTCTCGGTGCAGACACTCTCTCCACTAGACCAGGGAGGCATCCTCACTACAGTGTCATCACCAACCTTGCCCTCCTCCATCTCCATCCCGAAGCGGAGCTTGTGCACCATGTGGGTCATGTCGGGGTTTGGCGGCTGTTCCACTGCTGAGTGGGTGGAGACATGGAAGTTGCCGGGAATCTGAACAGCAATGGAGTTATCAGTCACAGCAATAGTTGCATTTCTTAACACATATGTTGAAGTGAGAAACATCAAAACAACTGTCCAATTTGGGGACACATTACGATCTGGGACCTGAAGGTTGTGCAATACTTAGTGGCTTCCTGTTGCCCTGAGTGAATGTTGTTTTATGCCAGTCAGCAATATTCCAGCAACATCAAAGCCACCTGGGACAGGCAAACGAGATTAATAGTGGCCAGGCAAACCATTGGTCGACAGCATGAGCAGCAATCCACACTGCTTGACAGGATTATAACTCAGCAGTAGCCCACTAGCTCAGGGCTAGTACAGACTCCAGCGAACTAGAATACATTTCCCAATCTCCCCATTGTTTTAACATTGCAAGGGCATTTTATCAAGTAACATACAGCTTTTGAGTTTAGTTGCCTCTTACAAGCATGGGGGTCTTCATGGGGGACAAGCATTGGTTGCTGAAGACCAATTTCAACCCGGATCTTTACAGTGGGATAAGCATGGGTTGCTGAAGACCTATTCAAACCCAGGTCTTCACAGGAGACAAGCATGAGTAGCTGAATACCTATTCTAACCTGGGTCTTCATGAGTGAACACTGAGCTGAATCTTGTGCATTACCTTGTTGATGAGGAAGAAGGACTCAAATCTGCAGCCCTCACCACCGACACCTATAGGAAACTTCTGCGTGTTGTCCTTGAAGCCGACCTCATGACGTCCCATGTCGTCTTGAATGTCCAACCCAATGTCTACAAAAACATCCGTGTGGGAATTGGTAAAACAAGTAAGACACTGTTTTCACTCCCGCACACAAAAGCATGAACCAAATTTGAAGGGGCGGAATCATGTATCAAATTTTTAAATGTATTTCGTCCAATGTATTCGCACATAAAAACATTTTTTTCTTAATGCACTTCTTGAGAAAGTTAATAATTATAAACATACCATGTAGATTACAACCAAGGTACACCATGGGACTAGCATCATGCACAAACAAAGAAGCAAGATATACTACTTCAAAAAGTTAAGGATCACCCAGTTCTTTCCTATGTCTGGTGTCCCCCGCTGTGATATTGCTGGAATATTGCTAAAAGTGGCGTAAAACCATACTCACTCTTTCATATTACTATAGTTAACCTTTCTAAGCAATATGAGACATCTCCCTTACCCATTTTCTTTTTATTTAACTCAACGTTTGATTGGTGGGTAAATGTTAATAAAAATGAAGGGCAGGTAATTTGAAATCGCGAAAACCTTGTGACTGGGTCCTTGGGTTAGTGTAGGTCTACTGGAGACAGAGAGGATGAACAACCCTTCATGTTGAACACTGCTTTAACCACCCTCCCCACCACCCGAGTGACGAACAATCTCATTAAAATCAGATCTTCTCGCTGCCGCTAAACAAAGATCTGAGGACATCCCATTACGGGTCATGTCAGACCGACTTGCGCAAACTCTGACCGACCAATGGAATTACTGACAAGAAGTTGATATGAGCCAATCAGGAGGCAGCTTTCTCGTGCTTTATGGCACTAATTTCAAATTGGCGACTACGCTTCGAAACATATTTTGACAAATTCTCGCTTAAAGATTTGAAACCTGAACAAAAGAACGTTCTAGAAAGGCTATATGGTCTAGATTGTATAGATTCAGTCGTTAAGCCCGTAACTATCGTTCGGAGTACCCCGTTTTAAAGTTTTCGAGGCTGCATGATTAGAAATCCATTCTGACTGTCACTTTCATGATCTGGTAAGCGACGCTCTGATTGGTCGGATGAAAGGTCATTCTGACATGACCCCTAATGGGATGTCCTCAGATCTTTGTTTAGCGGTAGCGAGAACTAAGATCTGATTTTAATGAGATTGAGTGACAAAGGGTGTACATGCAGCGCCATTCATGACAACGTACTCACACTGGCAGTCCATCTTGAAGAGGGAGATGTTGATGAAGACAGGGATCTTCTCCGAGTGCTGGACGGGATCCTCCACACTCAGCTCACTGATACTGAAACACACGGCAGTAGACACTGAAAATTAGGATACCTTAATTGGGGACAATATTATTGAATTATAATACAAAGCCTCTTAATATTGTCCCACAGATATATCAATTTCACCATTAATATTTCTTCCTTTTGCCTTGTTTACAACTTGGTAAACTTTGATGGCAGCCATCTTGTCAGTGGAGGTTACCGTATTCTCATGGTAAACAAAAAGTTTGATGTACGGTGATCTAATGACTGATGATCAGAGTCCGTAACTTTTGCCACTAGTCTGAAGCCCGAGTCTAGTAAAATTCTGTCCGGTCCAGTAAGCTCAACTTATAATAGTTTAAAATAACATCAAAATGTACAGAAAAAGATACTTATTGCTAGTAGACTCAAAGCTCTTGACACAGACTGATGACACATGTGAATGGGTCATTTCACTCATTCTCACATTCACTTCTCAGTATTTAGCTTAGCGATAAGCGCTTACAGTCAAAGGGAGATAACACGAGATACCAGGAGTGATAACGAAGGTAAACACTGTAGTGAGTTGGGGAAATTCTGCTGGTAAGTAAAGGTAAGTGATTGAATGTTTGGTACATGCTGCTAGGATATATGGTTAGGTTGTGAGGATGTAACAGAGAGAGTAGAGAGTAGAGAGTCTGGATCTTGAATAAACAAGTTTTATAAGGCATGTTGTACGAGCTGTGTTGTACGACCACTGTTGTACGAGGCGTGTTGTGGGAGCTGTGTTGTACGACCTCTGTTGTACGAGGTGTGTTGTACGACCTCTGTTGTACGAGGTGTGTTGTACGAGCTGTGTTGTACAAGCTGTGATGTATGAGCTGTGTTGTACGACCTCTGTTGTACGAGGTGTGTTGTACGACCTCTGTTGTACGACCTCTGTTGTACGAGGTGTGCTGTACGAGCAGTGTTGTACGAGCTGTGATGTACGAGCTGTGTTGTACGAGCTGTGTTGTACGAGCTGTGATGTACGAGCTGTGTTGTACGAGCTGTGTTGTACGAGCTGTGATGTACGAGCTGTGTTGTACGAGCTGTGTTGTACGAGGTGTTTTGTACGAGCAGTGTTGTACGAGCTGTGTTGTACGAGCTGTGTTGTACGACCTCCGTTGTACGAGGTGTGTTGTACGACCTCTGTTGTACGAGCTGTGTTGTACAAGCTGTGTTGTACGAGCTGTGTTGTACGACCTCTGTTGTACGAGGTGTGTTGTACGACCTCTGTTGTACGAGGTGTGCTGTACGAGCAGTGTTGTACAAGCTGTGATGTATGAGCTGTGTTGTACGACCTCTGTTGTACGAGGTGTGTTGTACGACCTCTGTTGTACGAGGTGTGTTGTACGACCTCTGTTGTACGAGGTGTGCTGTACGAGCAGTGTTGTACAAGCTGTGATGTATGAGCTGTGTTGTACGACCTCTGTTGTACGAGGTGTGTTGTACGACCTCTGTTGTACGAGGTGTGTTGTACGACCTCTGTTGTACGAGGTGTGTTGTACGAGCTGTGTTGTACAAGCTGTGATGTATGAGCTGTGTTGTACGACCTCTGTTGTACGAGGTGTGTTGTACGACCTCTGTTGTACGAGGTGTGTTGTACGAGCAGTGTTGTACGAGCTGTGATGTACGAGCTGTGTTGTACGAGCTGTGTTGTACAAGCTGTGATGTACGAGCTGTGTTGTACAAGCTGTGATGTACGAGCTGTGTTGTACGAGCTGTGTTGTACGAGGTGTGTTGTACGAGCTGTGTTGTACGACATGTGTTGTACGAGGTGTGTTGTACGAGCTGTGTTGTACGAGCTGTGTTGTACGAGCTGTGTTGTACGAGCTGTGTTGTACGAGCTGTGTTGTACAAGCTGTGTTGTACGAGCTGTGTTGTACGACCTCCGTTGTACGAGGTGTGTTGTACGACCTCTGTTGTACGAGCTGTGTTGTACAAGCTGTGTTGTACGAGGTGTGCTGTACGACCTCTGTTGTACGAGGTGTGTTGTACGAGCAGTGTTGTACAAGCTGTGATGTATGAGCTGTGTTGTACGACCTCTGTTGTACGAGGTGTGTTGTACGACCTCTGTTGTACGACCTCTGTTGTACGAGGTGTGTTGTACGAGCAGTGTTGTACGAGCTGTGATGTACGAGCTGTGTTGTACGAGCTGTGTTGTACAAGCTGTGATGTACGAGCTGTGTTGTACGAGCTGTGTTGTACGAGGTGTGTTGTACGAGCTGTGTTGTACGACCTGTGTTGTACGAGGTGTGTTGTACGAGCTGTGTTGTACGAGCTGTGTTGTACGAGCTGTGTTGTACGAGCTGTGTTGTACGAGCTGTGTTGTACGACCTCCGTTGTACGAGGTGTGTTGTACGACCTCTGTTGTACGAGCTGTGTTGTACAAGCTGTGTTGTACGAGGTGTGCTGTACGAGCAGTGTTGTACAAGCTGTGATGTATGAGCTGTGTTGTACGACCTCTGTTGTACGAGGTGTGTTGTACGACCTCTGTTGTACGACCTCTGTTGTACGAGGTGTGTTGTACGAGCAGTGTTGTACAAGCTGTGTTGTACAAGCTGTGATGTATGAGCTGTGTTGTACGACCTCTGTTGTACGAGGTGTGTTGTACGACCTCTGTTGTACGACCTCTGTTGTACGAGGTGTGTTGTACGAGCAGTGTTGTACAAGCTGTGATGTATGAGCTGTGTTGTACGAGCTGTGTTGTACAAGCTGTGATGTATGAGGTGTGTTGTACGAGCAGTGTTGTACAAGCTGTGATGTATGAGCTGTGTTGTACGACCTCTGTTGTACGAGGTGTGTTGTACGACCTCTGTTGTACGAGGTGTGTTGTACGAGCAGTGTTGTACGAGCAGTGTTGTACGAGGTGTGATGTACGAGCTGTGTTGTACGAGCTGTGTTGTGGGAGCTGTGATGTATGAGCTGTGATGTATGAGCTGTGATGTATTAGCTGTGTTGACCAAGCTGTAATGTACGAGCTGTGTTGTACAAGCTGTGATGTATGAGCTGTGTTGTACGAGCTGTGTTGTACAAGCTGTGATGTATGAGCTGTGTTGTACGAGGTGTGTTGTACGAGCAGTGTTGTACGAGCTGTGTTGTACGAGCTGTGATGTACGAGCTGTGTTGTACGAGCTGTGTTGTACGAGCAGTGTTGTACGAGCTGTGTTGTACGAGCTGTGTTGTACGAGCTGTGTTGTACGAGCTGTGTTGTACGAGCAGTGTTGTACGAGCTGTGTTGTACGAGCTGTGTTGTACGAGCTGTGATGTACGAGCTGTGTTGTACGAGCTGTGATGTACGAGGTGTGTTGTGTGAGCTGTGATGTACGAGGTGTGTTGTGGGAGCTGTGATGTATGAGCTGTGATGTATGAGCTGTGATGTATTAGCTGTGTTGACCAAGCTGTAATGTACGAGCTGTGATGTAAGAGCTGTGTTGTAAGAGCTGTGTTGTAAGAGCTGTGTTGTGGGAGCTGTGTTGTACGAGGAGTGATGTACGAGCTGTGATGTTCGAGCTGTGATGTAAGAGCTGTGTTGTACAAGGTGTGTTGTGGGAGCTGTGATGTACGAGCTGTGATGTACGAGCTGTGTTGAAGGAGCTGTGATGTACGAGCTGTGTTGTATGAGCTGTGCTGACCAAGCTGTGATGTGCGATCTGTGTTGACCAAGCTGTGATGTACGAGCTGTGTTGAAGGAGCTGTGATGTACGAGCTGTGTTGTACGAGCTGTGATGTACGAGGTGTGTTGTGGGAGCTGTGATGTACGAGGTGTGTTGTGGGAGCTGTGATGTACAAGCTATGTTGTATGAGGTGTGTTTACCAAGCTGTGATGTACAAGGTGTGTTGTGGGAGCTGTGATGTACGAGCAGTGATGTATGAGGTGTGTTGACCAAGCTGTAATGTGCGAGCTGTGTTGACCAAGCTGTGATGTACGAGATGTGTTGACCGAGCTGTGATGTACGACCTGTGTTGTACGAGGTGTGTTGTACGAGCTGTGATGTACGAGCTGTGATGTACGAGCTGTGATGTTCAAGCTGTGTTGACCAAGCTGTGTTGTACAAGGTGTGTTGTGGGAGCTGTGATGTATGAGCTGTGATGTACGAGCAGTGATGTACGAGGTGTGTTGACCAAGCTGTGATGTGCGATCTGTGTTGACCAAGCTGTGATGTATGAGCTGTGTTAACCAAGCTGTGATGTACGAGGTGTGTTGACCGAGCTGTGATGTACGACCTGTGTTGTGGGAGCTGTGATGTATGAGCTGTGATGTATGAGCTGTGTTGTACGAGGTGTGTTGAGGGAGCTGTGATGTACGATCTGTTTGTTGTATGAGGTGTGTTGTGGGAGCTGTGATGTACGATCTGTGATGTATGAGCTGTGTTGTGGTAGCTGTGTTGTGGGAGCTGTGTTGTACAAGCAGTGATGTACGAGCAGAGATGTACGAACTGTGTCGTATGAGGAGTGATGTACGAACTGTGTTGTACGACCTCCGTTGTACGAGGTGTGTTGTACGACCTCTGTTGTACGAGCTGTGTTGTACAAGCTGTGTTGTACGAGCTGTGATGTACGAGGTGTGTTGACCAAGCTGTGATGTACGAGCTGTGTTGACCAAGCTGTGATGTATGAGCTGTGTTGACCAAGCTGTGATGTACGACCTGTGTTGTACGAGCAGTGATGTATGAGCAGTGATGTACGAGCTGTGATGTACGAGGTGTGTTGACCAAGCTGTGATGTACGAGCTGTGTTGACCAAGCTGTGATGTACGACCTGTGTTGACCAAGCTGTGATGTATGAGCTGTGTTGACCAAGCTGTGATGTATGAGCTGTGTTGACCAAGCTGTGATGTATGAGCTGTGATGTATGAGCTGTGTTGTACGAGCTGTGTTGTACGAGCTGTGTTGTACGAGCTGTGTTGTACGAGCTGTGTTGACCAAGCTGTGATGTATGAGCTGTGTTGACCGAGCTGTGATGTACGACCTGTGTTGTACGAGGTGTGTTGTCAGAGCTGTGATGTAGGAGGTGTGTTGTGGGAGCTGTGATGTACAAGCTGTGATGTACGAGCTGTGTTGTGGGAGCTGTGATGTACGATCTGTGTTGTACGAGGTGTGTTGTGGGAGCTGTGATGTACGATCTGTGATGTATAAGCTGTGTTGTGGTAGCTGTGTTGTACGAGGTGTGTTGTGGGAGCTGTGATGTATGAGCTGTGTTGTACGAGCAGTGATGTACGAGCAGTGATGTACGAACTGTGTCGTACGAGCAGTGATGTACGAACTGTGTCGTATGAGGAGTGATGTACGACCTGTGATGTACGACCTGTGTTGTACGAGGTGTGTTGTGGGAGCTGTGATGTACAAGCAGTGATGTATGAGCAGTGATGTATGAGCTGTGTTGACCAAGCAGTGATGTACGAACTGTGTCGTATAAGGAGTGATGTAGGAACTGTGTCGTATGAGGAGTGATGTACGAACTGTGTTGACTGAGCTGTGTTGACCGAGCTGTGATGTACGAGAAGTGTTGACCGAGCTGTGATGACCGAGCTGTGTTGTACGAGGTGTGTTGTGGGAGCTGTGATGTACAAGCTGTGATGTATGAGCTGTGTTGACTGAGCAGTGTTGTACGAGAAGTGTTGACCGAGCTGTGTTGTACGAGGTGTGTTGTGGGAGCTGTGATGTACAAGCTGTGATGTATGAGCTGTGTTGTACGAGAAGTGTTGACCGAGCTGTGTTGTACGAGGAGTGATGTACGATCTGTGTTGACTGAGCTGTTACGATCTTTCACTTACACTTCATGGGTGACGAAGAGCAGCAGCTCAGAGCAGAAGAGGAATGTGATGAAGAGAACGGAACACACAGAGATGAGGGCACCTGTTGAGGTTGGCTGAGTCAAGTCCTTCGGGATCTTCCGATACAGGTCCAGTCTGCAGAGAAATAAGCTCTTATTGCTTGAAGCATTCACATTTGATCAGCATCAACACACATAAGCATAACAACCAATTTGTCATTTTCTAATTTCGTCCTTTTAACATTCGTAAACATGATAACAGCATATAAGATGGAATCGGAGTCATAGAGGACGAGTGCAAGTTCTTTTTCAGGATATAAACATACTGTCACAAGAGAGTGACGCAATAGTAAGTTCTCATCCTGATAAAGTAATGGCACAAGTTCTCTATCTTAGACCACAGGCAAATACTTGAGTTACAGAGTACCACAAACTATACACTGCAGTTTATACAAATTCCACCATTCACATTCAAAGCAGACAGCACGATTTCACATGAACTGTTTGTTTGTTGTTTTGTTTTGTTTTTGTTTTTGTTTTTTGTTGTTGGTTGTTGTTTTGGTTTTGGTTTTTGTTGTTGTTGTTTTTTGTTTTTTTTGTTTTGTTTTGGGGGGGGGGGGGGGGGGGGGGGGGGTTGGGGGGGGAATTGCCATCAAGCAATCTATTTCCACTATTTCCACAATTTCCACAAAACTTTTGATGTTTAGGTATTTTCCACATAACAAACTATTCATTTTCATCACCACTATCAACATGCTATTCATTTGGGGCATATTTCTGAACACAAATATTAACTTGAAAAATCTCCAACCCCCTCCCTCATCAGAGAAATCACACAGATACTCCCTTAGAGCAGTCACTACTTGCACAGGACATTTAGGACTTTATGGATCACTGGTAATATTCCTTTCATCCAGAACTTTAGCAAAAATTACTCATTGAGTCACACTAAATTGAACAACCAAATGGATCAGTGGTCAGGCTCTGTGACTTGTTGATGCATGTCATCTTATCCCAATCACATGGATTGATGCTCATTATCTCAATCACTGGATTGTCTGGTCCAGGCTCGATTATTTACAGGCTGCCATTATAGTGTTTTACATGATGGAGCAATGTGCATCGGGTGGTCAGGCTCGCTGACTTGATTGATGCATGTCATTGTATCCTAGTTGCCGAGATCAAACCTCATGATGTCAATCACTGGATTGTCTGGTCCAGACTCGATTATTTACAGGCTGCCATTAAAGTGTTTACATGATGCAGCAATGTGCATCAGGTGGTCACGCTCGCTGACTTGATTGATGCATGTCATCGTATCCTAGTTGCCGAGATCAAATCTCATGATGTCAAACGCAGGATTGTGTGGCCCAGACTCGATTATTTTTAAACCGCTGTCATATAGCTGGAATACTGCTGAGTAGGCGTTAAACAACAAACAAACAATCATTACTTTACAGGACCCTTGTATTTCCTGTAAGGACCCTTGAACTTTGTAATAGGGGGTACTCTTAGTTTTGTAGGTCAAGGTAAAACCATGCATCATATGGCTGTGTGTGGCATTAAACATGTTAAACAACAAACAATCAAACACAAAAAGGTTGGAACACCTAAAACAACATGTGGCCCAAATATGCCACAATGGAATTTCCTTTCTGCACACGTCAGCAGTAATAAGTTTATATTACATTTCTCTCGCAAAACAAAGACAACCTATTGCAATAAACATTGCTGCACTCAATATCCTCTATTCCACGAGGTCTGCTGTTTAATGCATAGTTACCTTATCCTTGTTTGTAGAACTTCATTACCATATTATTGATATTGTTATTAACTAGTCACTGCCTAGAATGAAAATCCATCTCGTGCCAGCTGTCGGCAGCAAGTCTTCAGTGACAAAAATGCAGTGGCAACTAATATGTGGTTACATATGAATTTTTTCTTGCAGGAAAATATATCTGTCAGACATATTCTCTGACCTTGATGTCCTTGAACTGGGTATTAAGTTGACAGAGATGAACATTCTGATAGACACTCTCATGGAAAAGTTGACTGGTTATTTGAATTTGATTTGTCTGTTGCTGTTAAACACCACTGTCTGCTTTGCTCTGCAATATTACGGCTACTAGTATATGACAGCGGCCTGTAAATAATCGAATCTGGATCACATAATCCTGTGATTGATATTGTGAACATCGATCCACACCTGCAGGAGGTGAGGTGAAATGGGGTTTAACGTCACGTCCAAGATTATTGCACTTATATAGCGACGTGCATGTACGCGTGTGTGTTTGTGTGGCTGCTTGTACTAGTCCGGACTGATGCCGATTTATAGTGCTAGTTCACTGAGATACCATGCAGCAGCTTAACATGAATACCCCACTCAGACACAGTATACTGACTCCGAGCTGACCAGTCCTTGTTTTAGCCCCTTGATGCCGAGCGCCAGACAGGGTAACAACAAGTACCATCTTTTAACGTCTATTGGTATGACGCGGTCGGGGATCGAACCCCAGACCTTCCGCTCTCCAGGCGGACGCTCTACCAGTAGACCACGGAGGCGGTCCCACACCTGCAGGATATATTGACACAAAATCAACCAATCACCAAACTTGACCGCCAAAACCATTTAGTCGCCTCTACGACAAGCATCAGTTGCTAGGGAGCTATTTTGACCTGGAATCACCATATGGTGTTCACATTCTGACATGATCGTTTGATATAATAAGAAAATTAAATGTGAGGTGAGGTGAAATTGGGTTTAACGTCGCGTCCAAGATTATTGCACTTATATAGCAACGTGCATGTACGTGTGTGTGTTTGTGTGGCTACTTGTACTAGTCCGGACTGATGCTGATTTATAGTGCTAGCCCACTGAGATGCCATGCTGCAGTTTAACATGAATACCCCACTCAGACACAGTATACTGACTCCGAGCCGACCAGTCCTTGTTTTAGCCCCTTAAAAACAAGTACCATCTTTTAACGTCTTTTGGTATGCCGCGGCTGTAGATCGAACCCCGGACCTTCCGCTCTCCGGGCGGACGCTCTACCACTAGACCACGGAAGCGGTCAAAAATTAGATGTCTGAATGCACATACGGGCAACTATACTCCATGATCTGAAGCTCATCTTCAGTCGTGGTCTAGATGCTGTACTTCGATACAAATACATGTAGTTGGGGACGATACATCGATGCATCACGATTTTTTACTTATCGATCTATCAATTCTTGCATTAAATGTATTCTTTAAATATTTCGACACCAAACACTAATCACTTGTGAAAATGAGTAGTGTTAACGTAAATATTTTCATCCATTGTGTCATACTTGACACTGCCAACTGTGTGCCGGGTATTTGGCCATCTATGAAAACATAGTTTACGCACCACAGATAACAGCGCATGCAAGTATTGTGATATGTATCGGATCGTGAGCAAGGTATCGTGATATGTATCGAACGGACAGTGGGTGTATCATCCCAGCCCTAGCAATTCATTAAGATTTGGTGCCCTGTGACATATTGTCACAGAACAAGAGTACATATAGATTCCTTTTAACAATTTGGTTTTAAAATTAATTTCAAAATCCTATTTTCTGATGGTATGTATAGAAATTCATAAACCATAATTTGTTCAATTGATTCAAGGCGACTCAATATCTTTGGTTGTAGCAATATTTATTTCCATACTTCGCCATAACAAATACTGAGTTTAAATAGCGATCTTATAAATGAGATTCGAAAAACAATCTGAACAGCTGTCATCGGGAAGGATTCAGAAGATCTGAACACAGATAGTAGCTTCAAATCCACACCATTTGGTGGCAATGGAACCTGTTGCAGCCACTGACACTGAAACGTGTTAAGAATAAATCAATTGCACCTGCATAGGCAGCACACAGCAGGTGGTGTTTTGTGATCGCTGACAACGCATACTGCCATTGAAGATTGATCTGTGTTAGGCATTGCAGTTGGGTAGAAAGTCAAGAAACTGTACAAGTACATTTTGTAATGAAAAAGGCTGAAGAAATATAGCAGTTTACGAAAAAGGACTGGTTTGTCTTTTGAAGGATACATTTGAGAAAGCATTTTTCTTTAACATGTCTGCAGAGAAACCTTTGCCTACACATGAGTGTCCAACATAATCAAATATAATGGAGACAAATTACACATGTTGAAAACAATAATATTTAAAATGTTTTAATTTTCATGTCACTGCCAGTCATGACCTGTAGCCTTATGATGTCTTTGATTGGCAATATATTTTAGAAGTAGTCACCTTAAGAAGGGGCCAGATGTACCCCAGAAATATCGTTCCAAACAATAAAACACTTTTACCCAAAGGGGTTCCCTGTCTCCATCTAATTTTCCTCACATTTTAAGTCAAACAGGTGATAGGCATTGCAGGTGGGTAGAAAGTCAAGAAACTGTTGTACATTTCTTAATAATGGGCGATCTTTTTCAATTTATCTTCCCTTCACTAACCCGCTAGGTGCGCTGACCCGGACGGTCCAACCTTAAACTGAGGTCGCATGTGGTATGCGCAAAACGAGCACTACATGTTACTATGACGCCTATAGACAGTTAACTAGTATAACCTTCACCTCTGTCGGCAACAGTCACGCTTGTGTTGGACAGCAAATCTTTTCGCCTAAACAATGACTTATCCATGTCCGGAAATAAATGTTCTTCGATTTAATGATACATCAGGGATGACCACGACTGATCATATTGTATAGTTATCCACTAGACAGGCTTTCGAAGCGATGCGGTGAGATCAGCTGATCGTTCATCCCAGGTCGCTTTGTTGACGTTTTGCAATTGGTACTGAAAGTGTTGTCCTTGATGTATGAATATGAAAAATAAGTAGATTTTGTATACGTTCCTATATCTATGTTGTAGCATCGCCGAGCAGGCTACATCATATGCATGCATTTCAGTATGTACAACGGTGAGACGATACGGTACGCGAAATGTGGTCTTATGCAACGTAAAGTTGCCCGTAGCCTCAATGTTGTGAATATTGACAGCAAGACATGTCAATGATGTGAAATGTAAGTATTTGTCAGATATATAACAGAGAGCAATGAGAAATGTTCTCAAGAAATTGTAAGAGTAACAGGCACTGTCATCAA